CACTTTCGATCAAAATGTCGTAACTTCCGTTCCGTCTGGAAGAGGAAGTCGCCTATGGAGCGTAGTCGAACGTCCACGAAGGAGCTGGAGGAGTGACACGAACGGGAATAAGTTACCTCCCGAACCAGCGAGCTCGAGTTGTCGCTTCCAATCAAACTGTCTTAACTTCCGATCACCGGAAGAAGAGAGAGCGAGAGAAAGAAATGGGATCGGGAGAGGAAGCCAGAAACAAAAGCCTTCGACCTCTTCTATTCGACTACTTAACGACGCAAATGCGTCGTGCGGGCAACGGGGGAAGAGGGTCGTGCGAGATCGTGGGAGAAGGGACGTCGACGTGACAGCGATGTGCGATGGACGGCTTCGGACAGCTACGCACGATCTCTTTTCCTCTTTTTGTTTATATTAGGCAGGTCAACAGCATGAAAACATTTCTTTTCAATACTCCTAATTATTTCAATATTCCTCCGCCGGGGCAATGTATCCCACTATATTTTAAATTTATACATGACCAGTGCACAAATTAAATTAAGTATGAGAGATATTGAAAACAACAATTCAGATTTATATATGAGTGTCTACTTTAGGATATTCACAGATTTTCAAATCATTACAAAACTATGAGTTTAGTTGGCCATATAAAAAAAATTGATCAAAACACTTTCTATTACATGCTAAAAAAAAAACACAAATAGAAAAGATAAAGAAAATAGCACCTGAAATGAAGAATCTCATATAGATCCTACAGATGATTTCTTCTTGAAGTGTTTCTCCCCTTACACCTTTGCTTTCCACACTCTTTTCCACTCATAAGTGTGGTTTTGCTCTCTAAAAGTATGAACAACAACTCCCTTATCTCTGTATCCTCTGGTTCCTTTTGTCTCTCTTCTTTCATAAGAAAATATAAAAAACTACTTATACTTAATATAAAAAGACTCAAGCATCGTGATGCTCGATAGAATGGCGCCCAACGTGACAATATGAACTAGTGCCTCGACACTGCTTAATGTGGTTTTGCTACGGTGTTGGGCTGACGTAGCACAGATGTTTGCTGATTCGATTGGACGCTTGGCTGATTTGGCATGGCACTTCTTTTTCCTAATTGCTTCGCCACAACTGCAAAAGATGGGTGCTGCTGTTCTTTTTATATGTTGAACCCTTTAATAAAGGAGTGAAAGATGTTTGTCACATAATTACATAACTTTATAGAGTAAGCTTTAGTGCATGGGGTTCTTGCCCTTGATGCCCGCATTCGAGATTTGCTCATTCCTATGATGGAATATTGATAAAATATGAGAAGTAGTTGTGAAGAAGAGTTCTCAATCGCAATAAGATTATCTTAATGATCATCATTATATTTGTATCTTTATTATTGGTTATGTGGATGTTCAGAAAAAATAAACATCAAGGCAATTCAAATAGAGATATAATTTTAGTGCATTTTTATTAATAAATATCATAAAATATTATTAGAAGATAAAATAATGGCTGTGTTAAATTTTTTTAAGCATCTTTGATCAACTATACAGAAGTTTGAGTTATAATGGTTAAAATGATGTGCCTGCTTTTTTCACTATAGATGTTTGGAAGTAATTGAATTAAGTTGCAGATATGAATTCCATTGTTTATTTGATAGAAAATGAAAGAAAGTGAGTTCTTATTTTTGACACTCACCTTCATAATGGAGAGAAGCGAGTTTCAATTATTTTAGGGCTTGGATGTTACCTCCATTTTGTAGTTTTTGTATTAATTACTACTAATATTTTTATAAAACGAAGGAATGGCTTATGATATTTTTTTTCCTAATTTTATTAAAATGATATAAAATTAATGGTATGATTGGTAAATTTGAAACTCATTGCAGTCTACAAAACAAAATCCAAACTTGGTTCACAATAAAAATGAGTTCTTGTTGAACAAACAAACATCATGGTAACTCACTTATAGATCTCAATTCTAACCACTTCTAAGCACTTAAATCTAAACAAAATATTCCTAAGAGGATGCCATTGAGACAAAAAAGTAAATTTTATAAGATTACAAATTTGTTATTTATCGTATAGAAATCTAAGTATTAGGCGGTAAAGTATTGTCTGGTTGAGTCGGACAAAAATAAGAATGTCAAGATAGATGTATGAAAAAACTAGAATGGTGAAAGGAGATTATATTAGAGGGAAATAAAGTAGCATCTGAAATATGGTATTGGAAAATAGTGGTGGTGATGAGGACATCGTCAGCGATTTCGACACGTGTACCATCGAAGATGCCGGAGATCGACGGCCACGATCAGGAGTTTTTATTTTGAGTCATTTTATGTAGTAGTTTATTTTATTTTTTCAGTTTTTACTGTTTTACCCTTATGGGTGGTCATTTGATATTGTAGCCCCGAGGGCATTTATGTCTTTTAGTTTTTGTTTTATTTTGGCCTATTTATAGGAGGCCTCATGCATTGTACTAGATGATGATTAATATGAAATTTTCAGTTTGTGCTTATGGATCTCTTTGTGAGTTCTAAGTTCTCTCTTTGGATGATCTCTTAGTGAGTTCGTGGAGGAGAGGCCCAAGTGGGGCAAAAGCAATACCCGTCAATCTTGGTGGATTCCAAGGTTCGCGGTTCTCTTATGTTTCTTGTCCTTTTATTTTTCTTCTTGCATCGAATTCCCTCTCCACCCATTCATCCTCATACCCCGACCACCTCTTGCTCACTTCCCCAAAACCGAAAACCCCACATTCCCCCCCAACTGCCCTCCTCGAGCCCTAGCCACCCGCCGGCCACCAAACCCCATAGCCGCCGGTCCCTTGGACCTTTTAGCCGCTGGCCTCTTCTAAGCCTCCATGAATTTTGAATTTCAAAATTCAAAACCCCATTCTATACTTACCTTATTGGATTTTTCTAATTATGGAAAGTTTTTTGAATCTAATTCTAATTTAAATTTAAATTAGATGAGATTTGATATTCTTATTCCTTAATTAGCTAATTCATTGAGGAAGCATTAATTACTCCCCATTCAGCCCTCAATCGAATATTGTTGCTATTCAATTAGTTTCCTAATTTGGGTTGATCCAAAATCAATGGGAATTTGAATTCAAATTCCATTTAGATTTGATGTCAAATCTTTCCCTAATTTCCTAACCCAATTAGGTAACCAATTACTATGCATAAACTGAGTTTAAAATCAGATTTATTCTCTTACATCAATTAAGAGCTTGGGCCCACATTTAATTAATACCAATCCCCTGATTTGCTCCCCTAATGGCCGGCTCTTTATTCCTCTCCAATCAACATTAATTGGCATTCATTTTGGATCCAATTAATTTTTTCTCTAATCACTTTTCCCTCCCACCATCCATTACATTCAAAATTCAAATTTGAACTTCCCCTACCCAATTGATTAGGGAAATCTAAAAATACTGCCCAAGAAAAATCCGTTCCTGCTGTCTTTGGCCTTCAAATGCTAGCTGCTATTCAACAATTCCAGCAAGCTTCTTACTGCTGTCACGCCGTCCAAAAGATTTCCAAACCTGCTGCCTTAAATTTCTGGACGTTCAACCCTGCTGTCCTGAAATTCCTGCAAAGAGAAATCAACAGTTTCCCTGCTAAGAATCCTCCTGTTGCTGTCCAAAGCCTTCCTATGGTTGCTGCTCAAATTTTCTAAGTTATAAGGTTGCTGGCCAGTTGTCTAAAACCCAACGCTACTGTCCAGAGCCTCCATTGGAAGAATTTTCCTGCTGTCCAGGAAATTCCTGTCCAGATTTTGCTATCCAGAAAATTCCAGTCAAGGTTCTTGCTATCCAGAAATTTCCAACCAAGACCTTTGCGGTTCCAGCCCTCCTAACGCTAGGAAACTGCAGTCCTGCAAAACCAGAGCCGCACTATTGCTGTCCAACGTCCTCAGAAGCCACCGTTTCCATCCAAAACTTTCTGGAATTGCTGGCCCAGATTTTTTTACTTGCTGTCCAAGGGTTCGAGAACGAATGCGTTGCTATCCAAACGTCCAAGGAGCCACCACGTCATCCCGTGGATTCCCCGTCGCCGGCTACTTCCCCAACGAACTAGACTTTGGGCACCATTTGTCTCTTAGTGGCATTGCCTAGTTTGCTCTCAATCTTCCTCCGTTCAAATCCCACCGTCAAGAGCGCGAGTGAGGGACCCAAGGTGAAAAGTTCTATTTGTTAGCCGCGGATTATTGTTTTTGCGATAGCATTACTCTCTTTATTTTTATGTTGTTAAATTGATAGCATCCCGTTAATCTAGTTGTAATTGCATGCCTTACATAATTTCGACTTGATAGTTCTGAAAGCCTAACTTGGGTAAGCATTAATTTTATAACTAGCAAAGTTTTAATAATCTTATATTAAAATCCCCAAGCAGTTCTTGTTTCAATGCATACGTATCACATCAGGTGGTTTGGCATTTATAACGAAGGTTAAAAAAATACACCAATCAAAATTGATATATAAAATAAAAGAAAATAATCAAAATGATCTCTTAACTCTTTATGAAAGGTCAAAATGTTTCCTAGTTTTATTAAATGATTATTTTGATCCCTTGACTCTATAAAAAGGAGTCAAATAGTGCTAGCAAAATAGTTTTTTGATAGAATTGGAGCTCATTTTAATCTTTTATAAAAAGTCAATGGATAATTTTAGTCCTTTTTCCTATAAAATAAATGTTGAAGGATTTGAAAAAAAAATTGGGTTGACAAATGTTAACATGGATATAAAAGTTATGCAGAATGATTTGCACAAATAAGTTTATGCAACACTTTCAAAATGAAATGAATATAGAATAAGGATTCCTGAAGCCAACCCGACATCATTGGATGAGGCTAATGATAATGATGATGATAAATTTATTGAATTTCATATACTACGTAGCAAACGGATAGCATAGGCTTGTATGGCTATATGGACTTTTCCATTACTTGGTTCGTATTCTTATATGAATTGTATATGATCTCATACTATATTCCGTTGCTAATTCAGTTTCTGACAATTTGCAGAGAAGAGAAAATGAGGAAGTTCACTGTCTCGCTGAAGATGACACAAAGCAAAACAAGAAAATGGAATCCGCTTCTCCCTCTGAATCTGAAGATTCAAATCCTGATGATGATATCACAAATCTAACACCTTCTAATGGGCTATGCTCTGATGTCAATAGATTGACCATTGTTTCATCAGAAACTGTTGGTAATATAACGCACCATGCTGTTTCCTCATGTGCAATTGAAGAAAATGTCCCTGATTTTCCCTTGAAAACTTTAGTTAATATAAGTAAGCGCAAGAACCTGAAACAGGAGAATATGTCATTGGGGAAATCTCAAACTTTTTTAGGGAAACATCTTGGTCCTGCTGATAAAAAGCAGAAAAAGATATCAGCGTCAGATCTTTCTACGCCAAGTAGGGAGATGGATATTTTATATGGAAACGTATCTTCACTTCATTATACCAAATGCCAAGGTGGGGCAGCAATTTGTGATCAGTTTCAACATGAATCTAATGAATATCCTTCTCTAACTAAAGGTGATCATGGTAATGACTATGGTACCAACATTGAGGACACAGAAGTAAATAAGACGACTGAAGTTTTCCTTTTAAAGAGCTTATCCAGTTTCAGTAGAGGGCAGACCTGTGGTTGGAGTGTAATTGAGAAAGATCTCTACCTAAAGGGCATAGAAATATTTGGGAAGAACAGGTGATTCGAATTTATCTATGACTATTATTTTTTCTGCAACTAAAGTTAAATAATTAGTTTAACAAATCTATATTTAATTTTAAAACAAATCTCTTATAATAATGCTTTTTTTAACCGTTGTTTTGGTACCTTTGAAATGGGCATCACTCTGTGTGGTGAACATTTTGTGTCATGCATATGATTATTCTTACAGTAAGTGTTCTAGAATTTCTCATAGAAATTTTTTTGTTAATTTTTAGGTTTCTCAGTGCAAATACTTTAAAGCAAGGCTGCAAAAACTTGACCGGACAATTTTTTTTTTTGGGAAACCTATAGAGGGGCTTACGTGTTAATATAAAAGAAGGGTACAAGGTCTTTAAAGGGAACCTTCAGCTCGCTAATGCTCGAAAAAGCTAAAAAAAATAAAACCTAAGAGCCGATGGTCCCCTATACTAAGAATTATAAAATTACCTACTAATAATCTAGGGCTCCAAGTAGGCAACACCCAAAAAAGTAAGATAAAAAAAAGGAATTCAACACAATCTTATTGCAAAAAATAGTTATCTTATCCAAAGAAACCTCAGTCCAATGTACTTGCAAGAGAAAGTGACTGCAAAAGAAACAAGCACAATAACACATGGAAAAAACAATAAGGATTGTAACTAGATAGAAATTGCAACCAAGTTGAATTAAAGGAACTAAAGGTGAAGTACTTCCAATCAGAAATTATTAACATTCCATTGTTTTTGACAATCTGAAAAACCCCATTACACACCTTGTAATCACATAACACAATGGCCAAATAAGTACTGAAACAAATAGGGAAATGTAGGAAAATCACATGAAGGCATAACCAAATAGAGTAGTCATACATCATCCGAATCATACCAAGAGTAATATCAATACTGCAATAAAATATATCCCTAAACAGTAATAGCATAAAATGAAGCTGCCAAAAAAAAAAAAAATGAAGCCGCCAGGTGGTGAAGTTTCCGGCAAGAAAGCAGAATCCGGGAAAAACCAAAACATGGAAAAGATTCCAATCATAAGCACCAAACCCCTCCCAACCATAAAGGAGGAATAAGTAACCCAATTGTATGGAAAACAGGACAATCATATACAAGGATAAAGCAACAGATTAATAGCATAAAATGAAAATGCCTGGAGCTAAAGTACCAAACCCCACCCAATCAGAGAGAAGAATTAAGCAACCCAACTATAAGGAAAACAGGACAACCATATAAAAAGATAAAGCAACAAATAAAGAAGAAAAGGATTAGCCTCCTAGAACTGTCCATTCAGAGAATGAGAGGTTTAGGATTCGATGATTTGACTGGAATCAAATCAGATGATGTAATAAATATACAAATTTATTAAATAAAATTTAAATTACAGAATAATCATGTAATAATATAAATTTTTAATAAAAATAAATTAAATTCAAACAATAATATATTATATAATTTTAAATTTAAATACATTCAATCTTTAAATTTAATTCAAATCTTTTGAGTTTGGATGGGGCAATAACTCATATGGAGTGATAGAGTAATGTGAAATGCTTACTTGAGAATTTTTCATTTAAAAATTAAGCATTTTAAATTTAAATTAATTTGTTGAATTAAAAATATTATTTAATATTTTATTCTTAATATATTAATTTAATTTATTTAATTATTTAAATATTTTAGAAATTGAACCGGCTAATTTAAGGGAATTGGGACATTTTCACCAGTTTGTCGTTTGAACTGGTTGTTTTGGCAGGTTCATCTCGGTTTGGTACAAAATTGATCTTCAGGCTGAATCAGACTGGCTGGGCCGGTCTGGTTTTTAAAACCTTGTTTTAAAGTTCTTTGTGCATTTCTATGGTATAAGGCCTAGTTTAATTGGGCGTTTTTTGTGCTTATTCCTTTTTAAAACGGTAAAGTTATATCTTCTTTACTGTTTGGTTCCTCAAACCACGTTTTCAATAACACCATTTTTTTATTTTACTGTTGTTTTGAGAAACCTTTTTATATGTACTTTCTCCGTTAGAAAACTCTTTTTCTAAACCAACGTTTCTTAAAACTGCCTTTTATAAAAATACGAAATAACCAAACGAAGCCTAAATCTCATGCACATCTTCCAGTCATTTCAATGTAAGCCTGGTTTTGCGTAAGGCGTGCATGCTAGAAATATCCGGGAATGAAAACTGAGTGAAGTGCTTTTTCTAATTCCATGAAGGATAATCAAAATATGATTTTGATATTGTTCATTGATCACATTGTTGCCGTAATTCGCTTGCATACGTAAGACATTAAAATATTAACTCATTATCGTTTTTTATTATTATTTTATGTGATTTTTGACTCTGCAGTTGCCTCATCGCAAGAAACCTCCTTTCTGGACTGAAGACATGCATTGAGGTATCAAAATACATGTTTAATGATGGGGCGTCATTACAGATCAGACCTTTATTAACTAGTTCGTGCTTGGAAGATAGTGGAAGATGTGATCGTGCTATGACAGTGCGTTATTATTCTTTTCGTTGTTAATAGTGATATTTTTTTTTTCATATTTTATTCATGCTATTATTTCATATTTTATTCATGCTATTATTTCACGATTTTAAGGTCCATAATCCGAAATCCCTGAAAACTACAAAACCCTTTATTTGTCCCATGCATGCATAACTTAAGATCTTGCTTGAATGGAAGAATTCTTGGATGCGCAGCTCTATGTTACTGAAAAATAACTAATTTTGAGACCATGTTAAATTAGTTAAATGTTTATGTTTGTCAAATAACTAATTTTAGACCACGTATGTGAAGCTTTGGTCTTCAATGTGCAAGGTATTCAAACACATTCGAAATTCTCTGGTTCATTCATTTTCTTGACAGGCCATTCACTTAGGCTTCATTTGGGACGGCTTTCTTAGTACTTCTTAAAGCAATTTTTTAGTACAAAACATTTAATTTTTTACTAAAAAACTGTTTTAAGAAGCAATAAAAAAGCCGTCTCAAATGAAGCCTTAAGTGCAAAATCAAAGCAAGGTAAAATGCTTCGGGTAAAATTACTTTTCAAAGTTTTTATTTTGATGCAAGTCGTATTGGCTTTACAGCATGCTACGTTTTAGGTTACTTCAGAAATTGTTACAAGGTCAATAGATCCAATATTACGGTATTTAATTTGCTGGGCTTTAGACAATTCTACTTTATTTGTAATGGGAGACGACCTAGCTTTTACCAAGGGCGTGGAAAATAAACTCTATTTTCAACGTTTAGTATCTGATTCAGGCTTCATTTGGGACGACTTTTTTACTGCTTCTTGAAGCGACTTTCTAGTAAAAAAATTAAAATTTATGTACTAAAAACCTGCTTCAAGAAGCAATAATAAAGTTGTCCCAAACGAAGCCTTAATTTATCAAAACTTTAATATATTTTGCGTTTTGTAATCACGAAATAACTAAGTTGAGCTTTAGTTTTGTATGTGTTGATTGCTCTTGGTTATCTTATGAGCTTTGTCTTTTTGTTTATCATAGGAGCATGATATGCCAGCAAGGACCAAGATCTGGCGTAAGAGGGGCAGAGCTAGGAAGCTGAAATATACATGGAAATCTACTGGCCATCCATCAATTCGGAAAAGAATTGGTGATGGGAAGCAACAACCATGTAAACAATATACACCCTGCGGTTGCCAGCAAATGTGTGGGAAGCAATGCTCTTGTATGGAAAATGGAACCTGCTGTGAAAAGTACTGCGGGTACCTGCTAAAGCATAATTTGTCTTCTTTATCATGCAATGCTAGTTTTTTCTGCAAGTTACTTTGACTTTTCTTTTCTCTTCTTTAGATTTTTGTTCCATATTATCACTCTAATAGCCATAGGAAAGAAAATTTCCCATATTTTCTTGTGCTTTGTGTGAGTTAAATGTTAATAGGTGAATCAAGCTTGTTTTCTTGGGGATAATGTTTAGAGTTCATTCGATATTGGTCTAATTTCTCAGGTGTTCCAAGAGCTGCAAAAATCGTTTTAGAGGATGCCACTGTGCGAAGAGCCAATGCAGAAGCCGCCAGTGCCCTTGCTTTGCTGCTGGTCGTGAATGTGATCCTGATGTCTGCAGAAACTGTTGGGTCAGGTAAAGTTGCGACTTCTGATTTCCATCTTCATGATGCAGATCTGCTCATTTATTAGGGGCTCATTTTGTAGCTTGCAAATGAATAACAATTTTTGAAAGTGATGATTTAATTGTCATTCATTTTTTCTTTGAAATAGAAAACCTCATTTCTTAGAGATTTTGAATGGGTTTGTAAAGTTGAAAATTATGCTAAGTTTTAACTACATCCAACCAAATGATGGAATCTAGTAAAAGTATTATTTTTCAAAACACGTTTTCTAACTCCAAGCTGTTAGACCACTCAAGTTGTACCGCAAGGCCACAACACCTATCTGGTTCCCACTACATTAGCACAAGCGTGTCTCCACTACTTCTGACATACCGCCAGGCATTAATGGCTTCTTAGCTTTGCTCATTCTAGATCATTCCCTTTTCCTTATATACACAAACTACTACTGTAAAGCTATGGATTATTCTATTGAAATGGAATGAACTAGAAATCCTCTTCTCTACTATCTTCTCTGTTTAGCTTTTCTTCTAACTAACCGTCAGGACTTCCTTCATGGTATTAGAGTCGAGGCATTAACCCTTCCTCCCTCTTTTACTTCAATGGCGGATCAGGACTCAACTTCTCCGATTCAACCTACATCCTCTTTGTCAGCTGCCATGGCCGATTTCACCATTCCCTCTCCACTCAAGATTCTTATGACCAACCTCAAACTCATTGTCCACAACCAACTTCCAAACGACAACTATCCCATTTGGCGGCTTCAGATCCTTAAACTTTTCTCCGCAAACGGCTTTGTTGGATATTTTACTAGTCATGTAACCAAACCGTCTCCTACAATGGCAGAAACCAATCCTGCCGATTACTGCTCTGGCATCTTATAGACCAAAATCTTGTTTCTGCTCGTCTATCCACCATTTCTCTATCAATTCTTCTGTATATTCTCAATCTCTACATGACCAATGAGATATGGCTCACTCTTGAGTGTCTCCTACAACCGACTAACCGATCTCGGGTCATTCAGCTAAAAAATGAGCTCCATCACATTCAGATGCGAGACAACACAATGACACAATATCTATGTAAGATTAAAGCTCTCGTGGACAACATAGCTGCCGCCGGCTCTCGCATAGACTCTGAGGACATTATTCTATACATCCTTAGTGGCTTACCATCATCCTACAATCCCTTCAAAATAACCATTCACACATCTCAACAACTTATCAGTTTGGATGTGCTTTACTCTCTTCTTTGCAGTGAAGAGATTAATCTTCAGTCGGAACTTCAGCGGGATACCAGTTAGCCGTCCAAACATATCGCCCTCTACACGGTTCGACCCACCCCACCTCGTGGTCAATTCCAATCGAGAGGGTACCGTGGCCGTGGACCTTCCTCAGGACAACCAAAAACACTCCATCCAACAGTCGTCCGTCTTCTCCTGCCGGCAATTGCCCCATTTGCCAAATCTGTATCAAGTCCAGACATATCGCTTTGAATTGTTGGAATTGCTGCAACCTTTCCCCCACCTCCTCTTCCAGCAATCGGGCGCTTCTGGCCAACCCCCAATCCACTCCAGTAAATTAATGGGTTCTTGACTAAGGGCTTCAACTCATCCCACTCCGGACACCAACAACCTTCAGTATCCCACACCATACACCGGTACAGATTCAATCTCCATTGCGAATGACAACTCCTTACCAATCCAAAACACCGGCCAAGGCCTTCTTTTGCTTCCGGACTCCAATCGTAAACTTCGTTTACACAACCTACTTCATGTTCCTTCTCTTTCGCACAATCTTCTATCCATACACAAATTAACTACTTCGTGGACTTAGTCGCGATGGCCTCTATTATGTATTCACTACATTTGTCACCTCTCCAACAGCTCTACACACCACGACTGCCTCCTCCAACCGCTAGCATGCTCGTCTAGGCCATCCCAACATTAGATCTCTACAAGCTTTAGCTAATACAATACCACCCTTTATATGTACTCCCTCCCCCTCTTTTGTTTGCACCTCTTGTAATGTGGCGAAAAGCCACAAGTTATCTTTTTATACTACCAAATATCATGTAAACAAACCTTTTATGCTAATACATTTAGATGTTTGGGGTCCGGCCCCAGTCTCATCTTTAAATGGTTTTCGCTATTATGTGATATTTATAGATGACTATACTCGCTTTACTTGGCTGTTTTTAATGCATACCAAAGCCAAAACTTTCTCCAAATTTCAGCAATTTCATACGCTTGTGAGTAAAAATTTTAACTTCAACATTCAAAGCCTACGTTCTGATGGTGGTGGCGAGTTCACGAGCAACACCTTCACCTCATTTCTACTCAAACATGGCATCGCGCAACAATTCAGCTTTCCCTATACGCCAAAACAAAATGGGCTTGCAGAGTGCAAGCTTCTTCACTTACTTGACACCACTCACACCGTTCTTCATGCTGCAAATCTTCCTAATCACTTCTGGGCCGAAGATCTCCTCACATCGAACTATCTAATTAATCGTCTTCTCACCAAAGCCTGTTGCCTTCAAATACCATTCCAACTCCTCCATGGTCGTCTACTCTCTTGCTCCCATCTAAAGACTTTTGGTTTCCTCTGCTCCCATGGCTCAAACTACTAGCACAAAATAAACTATCCCCTCGCTCCAAAGAGGGCCTTTCCTTGGTTACTCCACTATACATAAGGGATATCGATGTTTACATCTCCAATCAAACAAACTTCACGTCTCTCGTCTTGTAGTCTTTCATGCGCATAAGCTTAAGGATAAGCTAGTGCTATCTTGCGGCCAAAGTTTTATGAAATATTATGTTCAAGTTCATTTTGAATTTTTTTTTTGTTTACTGAGCTCTGTGTTTAATTTTTTAACTTGTTCTTTCCTTTATAGCTTACTTTCTTTTTCCATTGTTTTTTTTAATGTTTATAACTACTGAATTAATGAGCTTGTGAAAAGATAATAAAGTTTAACACCTATTAGAGATGCTAATGGATTCTCTCCACATATTCCTTCCGCAAAAAAATAGGAAGATTAACAATTTGTATGACCTTAATGAAAGTATACCGGGCCATACCGTTTTTTATTTTTATGATGTTGATTACACTAGTACTACTATTATCTCTTTAACACTTTCCAGCTTAATAACTCACCCGTCAAAATTAAAGCCATGTGTTTTATTTAATTTTGAAAAAACGTCTCAATTACATTAAATTTTTATGATAAATGATTTGGATGGAGTTAAAGGATATTCAGCAAAATAAATGGGTATTAATTTTCACGTGGAGTGGAGTTTAATGGAAGCATTATTTTTGTTGCCCGTTGAGCACTTGAGCAATCAGAAACATTTGTGAAATTTTGTGAGTAATTTGCCTGCTAAAGATTCATCCTTAGGTATTGAAACCTTGTATTTGGAAGTGTAGAAATTGCGAACTCAAACAAAAGAATTTCATCAGAAGAGAATGAGCTTCTCCTCTTAGGATTGAACTATCTCTCTCTCTCCCCCTCCCTCTCTCTCTTCACACATCTCTTCCCTAATCTTGGCAATTGACTTGAAGCATTATTTATTATTGTATTCATTGAATGAATCGACTGCACAAGTAGTCTTTTCATCAACTTTACGGAAATTTAACAAAGCTTTTTTATGAAGCGAATTGAAGATTTGGAATACTTTTTGGCCAGATTGCGGATAAATGTAACGTTTTTATCAGTTTTGTCTATATTTTCCTTGTCACGTTCAACGAAATGGAACAATACTATGAAATTTATGATTTTTTTGGTTATTAATTAGTCTTCCTAGAATATGTTCCAAAGCATCTTGATCTTATGTTTGCGTGCTGATCTTATGTTTGCGTAGAGTTTACCCAAAAAAGAGTATGAGTTCCTTGTGGTAGGATATACTTCCTCCTATTTGGAGTGAATTCTCCTTTCTGCATTACAGAGTGAATTAGCTTCATTGTTTTGTTGAGTTAAAGTATTTCATTTAGGTGGCTTATGTTATTCTATTTTTATTGTTAATATTCTAAAAGCAATTTGTAACCACAATTTCTATTTTACTCTTTAAAAAATAATATTTCTAAAGCTAATTTTGGAAAATTAGGAAAAAAATGTATAGTTTTTCATCTAAACTGATGTTGTTATTTGTTGATTGTTTTTCTCATTATAAAAGTAGTTATTTGTTGATTGTTTTTCTCATTATAAAAGTAGTTAAAAAAGCTATAAATCTTTTCTTCGGCCTCAAATTGAGATTGATGTATTAGTTGATGCTAGTATACTATGCCCTATGATGCACCGACACTTCTCCTCAAAGAGGCGTGCAGTGTCCGACACGCCGAAAACGTGTCCGATTAAAAAAATATTAAAAACAAATTGGACACGTGTGTCCAACACGCGTATCTTAAATATTTTATAATTTTTTAAAATAGATTTTCTTATATTTGGCGAGATTTAAACTAAATTTCTTATTTCATATCCACAACACCAAATCATCATCTGCATTTAATACACATTCATCGAATATTCTCATTTTCATTTCTCTTTGGCAGTGCAGGTATTTTCATCTCCTCTCTTTTTGCACAATTACAAATCTTTCTCTTGTTAAACCAGAGTTGAAAGTAGTGATATTCAAAGATGATGATATTGAAGGCCAAAAACAAACCTCTAAAGCTAATCCTAGTAGTTGAAGCTTGAATGCTTGATGTTATAGTAAGTGATTATTTGCTTATATTTTTGTGGTTATACTAGATATTTTGTACTAAATATTTTATATTATAAGCTAGACAAGTTATCATGTCATTAATTTATTATTGTTTGTCATTTTTAATATGATATTACATTAATATATATATAATATATAAAAAAATGTATTGCCGTGTCAGTGCCGTACCCGTGTCCTATATTTAAAAAAAAAACCGTGTCCCGTGTCCGTGTCGTGTCGTGCCCGTGTCGCCGTGTCCGTGTCCGTGCATCATAGACTATGCCTATGTATGGTCTCTTGAGGCGTAGTAAATTAGTTATTTTGCTATTTCTTATGACCTTGAAGGATTCTAGGGATAAATGATGATTTCAAACTTGTCAAAAACTCCAATAAAATGTGGTATTGAGAGAGGGGAGAAAAATATCATAACAAAGGGATTAAATTCATTGCATTCATACCCTAAAACTTCAGAAGGGGAGTATTTATAGCATAACACGAAAAAAAAGCATAACACGACTCCTAAGGACATACTACAAAACTCATTATAACCTACTGACTCGATTTAACTACTTTTTACACTTATTAATTCATTGTGCCTAATATTTTTGACCCCTTCAGAATAAACCTAACACTCAAAGTTGAATCATATATGAAAAAGAAGTTAAATTCACATTAGAAATCCACGCATAATCTTGAGGTTGTTGATGGTATGCGAAAATGTTGGTAACTTTGTAGAAGGTGAGCACTGCAAGCCGCATTTTCAACTGATAATCCTTTGGTGGCGATGGAAGTTGCAACCCTTAGCGCACTCAGTCACTTGTGTCCTGTTGTGGCAATGCGATTGGAGTCTTGGGCATGCTAGGATTATCGTGCTCATAAATTTTAAGTGAGATAATTATTATTGGCTAATTAGGAGTTGATGTTTGGATTGTTGGTTGGATCGTTGGAGGAGGGGATGCGTCAATGTCTAATTGAACCATACAAGTAGCTTGAGAATGTGCTTTCTATTTGTTAAGGATTTGAATGCATTGCAAAGCACTTGCAATTCATCGTTGACCTAAAAATCTATGTGATGTGGCTTGAAGTTGTACAATGTGTTTGAGTTTGTTCTTAGTGTTGACAAGTTGGGATGTATGAGTCAAATGTTGCTCATATTTTATTGTCAACCTAGTCAATCTTCTGTTGATGTCGCTTTAAATCTCCCAAAGATCATATAATGTTTTGTTAAACCATGTGTAAGAGATCAAATTCCTTGACGTACATATGAGTTTCATCTGTTATAGAAGTTGTGCATGCTCTATTTTTGAAACCAAAAGTCAACAATTGTTGTTTGAGATGCACAGACTAAACGAAGCAAATCAGGGATTGAGAAGAGACGAGCCGGTGGTTTTAGTCGATGAGGGCTTCTTGATGAAGATATTTGGAAGGATGAGTTGATAAAAATGATGCACTACTAAAGGTAGAGATGGGGATCCGTGCGGTAACTGTAGAGGTCCTATACGAAAAGTCACTGGCGCCGGGATGCACAAGTGGCGGATTTGTAGATCTGCCATAGAGAGTGATGATAGAATTAGTGATGAGAGGAAGAAATTTAGAATGATAGATCTCGCAATGAGAATCTATGTTGGGGTCTATAATAACTGGTTTAGGCTGGGCCGATTCAACCGAACTGGCCAGCCTCTATTAATAGGTCGCGACCCAACAGGGGTCGGTAAAACTCCATTTCGCGAACAAAGCAGAGGAGCGGGCGGACGACCAATTTCGCATGAAGGCTTGGGGAGATTTTCTTACATCATTTTTAGCAAACGATTGGGTTGGAGGGTAAGATTAAACAACTCATTTTCGTTCCTATTGTTATAAAAGCAAGGGTTTGGGAGAAACGACGGTGGAAGAGAGGAACAAATTGGAAGGAAATGGGGAAAAAGTTTGTTTTCCCAAATCTTTTATAAATTGTTCCTAATATTTTCTCTAATTAGTGTAAACATTTAATTTAATAATAAGGAAGACATTTGGAAGCGAGGAGAGGAGATTTGTGAGGGAGAAAGAAGAAAGTTTTTGGGATTTGGAAGATCCCCTCATTGTAAGTAAAATGTATTTCATATAATTTTTCTTAGATATTTTTGTTAAAGCATAATAGTATTATAAAAATTTATATTTTTTAAATTCTTAGAAATTTGAGAAAATTTAGAAGGGAAGAGTCCTAGTTAAAAGAGTTGGGTGCTTCAAGAATTTAATAAGAAAGAGAACTTGTTACGAGGTATGAAAGAAATTCAATATTTGTTGAATTATTCAAATTAATATTTAATATTAATTAATTTGTTCTATTCTTGTGAACAGTTAACGACTTCCAAACTACATGATTATTGGAAGAAGACTAAAGTAGGTATTTATAAAAGTTTAAATTTTCTTTATTTTATTTTCTATTTTCATTTTGAAAGAAGTAAATATGTAATTGTTTAGACTTATGTTTTCTTTTACTGTTGGAAATGATTACCTGAAATAATCAACGGTATGTACAAATACAAATATGTAAAAGAAAAGGATATGTAGAAATGAGTATGTTAAAGAAATAGAAAGTGAAATTTAGAAAACAATCATACATATGTATATAATTCGTACATGCAAATAAAAAGTATATATATATGAATGAATTATATATGAATGGATGAAAAATAAATGAAAAAAGAAAATGATATGCATGCAAAAGTTTACAGGAGTTCACCCTTGTATGGTACTGGCTGGGGAAGCAACGTACCCGTGCACGTAAAAAGGAAAATGTTATGGATGAGAAAAAGGAAAATGAAAATGGTTGTACATTCGGTACAATTAGACGGTGCTTCTGTACAAATGAAAGAGGAAAATGAATAAATATTAAAGCTCTATAAAGGTTAAAAAGAACTGTAATATGATATGCATAAATTGACTGAAACAAATAAAATAAAGATAATGAAGGAAAATGAATAAAAAATATATTAAATGTTTATATGTAATGTATATTTTATTTTCATGTTAATTATTTTAATAGTTACCCACTGAGTTTACTTAGTAAACTCAGATAATGAATTTAAAATATTTCTGGTAATTCTTCAGTAATTTAGAAATGACAAATAGAGAAGATTTTGTCTATAGAAGACGGCATGCAAATGACAACAGGTAATTTATAATTTGTATATTAGAGGCTCTTCAGTAAGATAGATAAAGTTATGCATTGTATTGTTTATGAATTGAATGAAAAATTTTTTACCGTCCGACTTTTAGTTCCCGCATCGTCAAATCGAACATCCGGGCCGGGTCGTGACAGGGTCAGAGGTTATGGAGAGGTAGGATGGTTGTGTGATTGGGAGATCTATCACTTGGAGCTGTTTCAGTCGTAGGGGATAAGGAAATCTATGAATAGAATCAATGAGACAACAAAGTTGATGGGGATCTTATGCAGGGGTGGCACGGGAATATTAAATCTTAATTGTAACATCAATTGGTTTGATCCTGGAGTATTAGAGGGATAAACAACAAATTTGTGCATGCTAGAAACTCGAGTTTATGAGAAAACGTAAAATTATAAAAACGGGAGGAAGAATAATATCACAACAAAGGAGGTTGTTCATTTCATTGCAATCATACCCTAGAACTCCCATAAGGGAAGTGTTTATAGCATAACAAAACTCGTAAGAAAATATCATAATACCTAGTATAACTTACTGACTCAATTTTACTTCCTGTTATATTTATTTAACCCATATAATGCCTAATGTTATCTTATGCATCCAAGGTATATAGCGATGTTTTTCTAGAATACCATTTTACTCTTTGTTTAATACTCGATATTAAAAGTTTATTTTTAACTATAAAAAATGAATTTTGAGAACCCCCCACCCCACCCAAAACAACCACCACCACCACCAAAAAAAAAAAATATAAACACGTTCTAACAATTACTTTGTTGGCAGCTGTGGAGATGGTTCGCTTGATGAGCCACAATCTGGAGGTGATGGTTATCAGTGTGGAAACATGAAGCTCCTCTTAAAGCAGCAACAGAGAGTGAGGCCGATTGTTTATATAATATGTAACAGTTTTTTCTGCTCAAACTAAAAAATACATTTTTGTAACTATATGCTATACAGATTTTATTGTCGAGATCTGATGTTGCTGGATGGGGAGCTTTTATAAGGGTACGTAATTTGCATGTCACTTTAATTCAATTACTTTACTGTCATTGTTATAGCAATTATGTCATGCCAGAACCCTGTTAACAAAAATGATTATCTTGGAGAATACACTGGCGAATTAATCTCCCACAAGGAAGCAGACAAACGTGGAAAGATATACGATAGGGCAAACTCATCTTTTCTCTTTGATTTAAATGATCAGGTAGGCTGACTCTCTCTCTCTATCTTACACATGCATACAAAATACAAACAAAATGTTTTTTTACCCCATACGTACGAAGAAAAGCTTTGTCACTTTAAAGTGTTTTGAGCAATTAGTTTTGATTAATTAACAATCATCTGAGATATGTTTTTTTTTGCTTTGGTTGCTGAATAATGCTGCTTGAACCTTTCATGCTTGTAGTTTGTATTGGATGCTTATCGCAAGGGCGACAAACTGAAGTTTGCCAATCATTCATCAAGCCCAAATTGTTATGCCAAGGTATGTTGCATGCGCCCACTGCTTCCAGCTATTTGATTTATAAGAATTGAAGAGAATGCAAATGCTTTTCCCCTCATAATTTCATATTGGATGTTTCAAATCTAACTAATAAAAATTTGGATTTGCACAATGCTCGTTTGATTCTTGGTATCTAGAAAACGGTAATTTCATTTTCCCTCATTTTGAGTGTGAAAATGAAATCTTAACGCTTTTAGGAGAATTTTGAAAAATATTATTTTGGGCTCCAAAAATTCACCTCCTGACCTCTAGTTGGGAAAATTTAGATTTTTTTGGTACTTTTTTTAAAATTTAGATTAGATTGAGGAGAAGCTAGTGTTCAAAAATTTTGTTCTCATTTTACAGGGACTTTATGATTTAATTCCATGTTTCAAAGGGTGCAAACCTCTATGATTAATTATCCTCTTTGTAATGGGAGGGAACATTCGATTAAAGCAAATCGTTAGATGGTATTAAGTGCTTAGCATATAATAGTAGTAAATTAATTTTGGATTGTATTTGAAATTTATCACTTATTAATTAAGCCGATGATGTGAATGATGAAAAACTCAGTCAAGATCTCATGGTTTCAACATCTCGGGTTGTTAATATCCCTAATCTCCTAAGTCAAAAGATGTAGTTGACTTAACTTGACTAAAGAATTTTTGTTGGTAACCATGTGTTGCTTCGTTCAAGGAAATCTCATAGACCTTCGATAGATCTTTATTTAAGGAGATAAATTTAAGTTGACCTTAGCTAATAGAGCATTTTGTGTCATCATCAAGTGTGCCTTATACGTCATTACTTAAGGGTTTTTAGTCTTTGGGGAACTTATGGGCTTTGGTCATGACTATAATTTGATGGTGTTATTTTACAACAAAACCACTTGGTTAGAGGATCCTGATTATAATCATTTATATGCGGTATCATTGTGTTAAAATCACCGTTTATATGACATGTGTCACATCCTGACTAGCAAGGAATTGTTTGAGAATAAATCATATTGACTTATTTTTCCCTTGCAACAATTTTTACTTAACGCATTTGTTCAGCACGTGAGGGAGTTTTGGATTTCAAAAGGGATATAAAGTTTAAATAATAGAGCGACCACATATTTTTCATTACATGAGGGATTTGGTTCACTTTATTTTTAACGCATAACATTCTCGAAATTCAAAATCAGGGGTTCAGTATAATGGTCAACGCATATGCAAGTGAACTTGAATTTTTGCAAGAAGAATGTTATTTCAACTTATTTATGACTCACACAATATCTCGAACTTCAAATTTAGAAGTTCAAGCATTTGGTTGAAGTATATGTGAGTGAATTGATTTCGATGGTCTGATATGTTACACACATTTTTCAATGCATTGAACGTTTTTAAGTTGCATTCTCCCAATGCATGTGTACTTCTTAATTGAAGTGTCAAAATCGGGTTACGGGTCGGGTTTGGGTTAAACCCAATATTGATTTGCTATTATTTGACACGACCCAAACCTGACTTGTTTTTACAAACAGGTTAAAAAATGTAAACCGGACCCGACCCGACATGAAATCGCCCGCAACTTGCGAGATTTGGCCAAAGAAGGCGCGAATGGGAGAACGACGAGCTCCCTCTTGTCGTCGTCGTTGTTTCCCATCCAACAAAAGAACGACGAGCGAGCTGTCATGACTTTCGACCCCATATGAAAGAACGTCGTTGAAGGAGAAGTTTTGACCCGAAGCCGAAGGAATTGGAAAAACACGAAGAACACAACAATAGCGCGGAAGCAGCAGACTTGCGAAGGAGTGCGGAAGCAGCAGAAGAAGAGAAAAAACAAATCCTACGAGAGACGGTGCAGTGTAGGCAGATTGGTGGAGGTGCGACACGAAAGTGGGCTTGTGGTTCGTGTGGAAGCGGAACTGTGCCTTGGCCAGGGGAATCAGGTCATACCTGGGTCAACATCAGGTTAGCAAGTTGACCCGAACCCGACCCAATTTTTCAAAAGGGTCGAAATGTGGAACTTGAACCCAGCCCATTTGTCTGACGGGTTGACCCTAACCTAGAATTTTCAGGTCTGATTTTTGGGTCGTGTCAAATATTGACTCCACTACTTCTTAATACACTTGTGCGATGATCTTAAGCGATACGCCTACATAATTACTCAACCTTTGATGTGCTCAATCTGCTAGCACGACCACCAATGCACTTGAATGTTCTTTTGTGAGCTTGGACAGTGCATTTGCACATCTTATTATATTTGTAATGTACATTGAGGGGATGCATTGACAAGATCTATTTTAATAATTTTGCACATCCTGCGCACTTTGATGATATGATCGTGCGACATGTGGTGCATTACAATGCATTATTTTTATCTCATTCAGAAATTTGTCATTCATAGGTGCATTGTACATTCACGAGAAGTGTGCGAGCTTATTCAAAGGATGCATACATTTTCTTTTAGCATAATTAATGTGAGCATCATTTAGAGTATTTGCATACCAGTAATGTGCAATAGTTTTGATCATTTCTTCTTACTTGGAAATCATTTACGTGAATATAATTGTTTGAAATATGTAAGGGTCTGTCATGGCAGTTGTCCACATGAATGTAATGTCATTGGAGCATGCTTAGGACTTAGTATTTTAAATTTATTATTGCTCGTATTCAGTTTAATTGTGCATGTGTTGCGGATTTAATTGTGAGTATCACAAGTTGGAATTTAATATGTGTTTCACGCCATCCTTTTTGTTATCTCAAATGATTAGATTTTAGTTTGGTGTGCGCCATGAGGAATCATTTTTTCAATTATAAATAAGAAAGTATTTTAGTTTATTTTCATCTCAAACCCAATTCATTGATTGCATTCTTAAAATTTTTAAATGTTTAGGAGAGTTATATTTTTACCCGCATGTGAGCTTTACAAATTCATTGCAAGTTCTCTGTACGTTCAATTTTATTCTCTTTTTTGCAATTTTAATATCTTTTTTTTTGTGATTTTCAAATCTAGCTTAAAATTATTTTAATTTTTAATTTATGTCTAGATTTTTTTTTGTCCTATTGGGATTCCTTGTCAGTGTAAATTTCGGCAGCATCCTAGCATCTTCCCCATTAGGGTTGTCAAAATTGAGTCACGGGTCGGGTTCGGGTTCAACTCGGAACTGACCTGACGCTATTCGACCCGACCCGTTTTTGAGAATGGGTTAGTTTTTCAGACCATAACTTGATCCACTTTTGGTCCGGGTCAACCCGAGCCGACCCGTAAGTCTATCGATGCGTTGTTTAGCCAAATCCTATAAATCTGCCGCCAGGCCAAAGCAGGGAGGGGAAGTGGAGTCTTCGGGAGCAGGGAGAGGCAACGACGTTGGGAGCAGGGAGAGGCAGTGATGTTTGGAGCAGGGAGAGGCTTTAGGCGTCGGGCACAGGGAGAGGGAGAGGCGGCGGCATTGGCTTTAGGCGTCATGGGAGGGAGAGGTGGTCGTGTCGGGTTAAGGCTAGGGTTTGGACTTCGGACTAACGGCTTCAAGCGGCGAGAGAGGGAGAGGCGTCGAGGAAGAGAGGCCGGCGGCGGGACAACAGAACGACGACATTGACTTCAGGCGGCTTTGAATCGCAACTGTGGGACAACAGGAGTTCGCATTGAATCAAGATTGTAGGAAAGCGGACACTGTTTTCGTTTACTATTTACAGCGGGTCACAGGTCATTTTCGGGTTTCCGGGTAGACCTGAACTCGACCCGATTTTACAAATGGGTCGAAATATCGAACCCGAACCGAACACGTTTCTCAAATGGCGACGATGACAGCAAGCTGACAGTGATGATGGTAGCGACGACGGCAGCTAAATCAGAGATGTTCATGAGGGTTGCAAATCTTGGGTGGCCTTTGGGCATATAGGTGTTTGAGGGAGAGGAGAAAGTGGCTAGTCGACTAGGATTGGTGGTGCAAGTTAGATGGAGAGAGGAGGGGGCGTTGAATGACGGCTTGGGTATCGAATGAATAATGTAGGTTTTATTTTTTTTATTTTAGTTTAATAGTACTGATAAATTAATCTTTTAATTATTTTTATATTATATATTGATTTCTCAAAACTATTGTCACTTGTGCATATTAAAGTCATATCATCATTTTGCGTACGAGTGTATTACTCGATTCTCACTCTTACAGAGACGAGTGATATGGGTGTCTATTTAATTTTATTGTTATTATACCGAAAGTGCGTGCGCAATATATTTCACGAATGGATGCTATTTGGATGATTTTGACTTTTGGTCGACCCGTTTTTGGTAGAGCGATTTAGGGTCTTGTGTTCGCTATTTTTTCCGTATTCGATAGTGTTGACCTTGTAATGGTTTTCAAGGTCAATATTTAGAATTTTGATATCTACTATAACAACAACATCAAGCCTTTGTCCCACGACGTGGGATTGGCTACATGAATCCTTTTTCGTCATTGTGTCATGTTAAAATTCAAATTCTCATTTAGATCTAATAAAGAAAGATCATTTCTAATATTTTCTAACCAAGTCTTTTTAGGTCTACCTCTACCTTTCTTAACATAAGTCAAATCTAATATCTCAACTTTCCTAACCGGGTCATCGAAAGGCCTCTGTTTAATGTGACCAAACCATCTAAGGTGGTTCTCTCTAATCTTATCTTCTACTAGAGTTACTCCAACTTTTTTACGTATTTGCTCATTTCGTATCCTATCTCTAAGGGTAAAGCCACTCATCCACCTAAGCATTCTCATCTCTGCAACACTTAACTTAGTATTATGCTTCTCTTTTAATGTTCAACATTTAGCACCATAAAGTATTACAGGTCTCACCACCATCTTATAGAATTTTCCCTTAAAGTTTGAGGGGGGCTTTTCTATTACACAACAAGCCTGATGCATTCCTCCACTTCAACCATCCAACTTGATTTCTTCTTATAATATCCTCATTTATTTCACCATCAGTCTGAAAAATAGATACAAATGATGGATTTGATGTATTAAATCACTTTCGAAAAAAAATATTTGTAACCTTCAAGCAGCCAAATGAGATTATGACTTTTTAATAAGAATATTTTTCATTGATAATTCTCTAACGAATCCTAGTTAAAAAATAGGAAGAAAAAGCAAAAGAAAAAAAAAAAATTTTTCTCAATGAAAAATAAGAGAAAAAATTTTCACTAAATTTCTCTTCGGCCAAACAAGAGGTGAAACTAACGTTAGTACACTGCACTTATTATAATTTCATAGTAATTTTCAATTCCTTTAAAGTAACCAAACCAAGCAAGTAAAACTTGGTATATTTTTTTGGTTAACCGTGTTTATTCAGGTTATGCTGGTCGCCGGAGATCATCGTGTTGGAATTTATGCTAAAGAACATATTGAAGCTGGCGAGGAGCTGTTTTATGATTACCGTTATGGACCTGATCAGGCACCTGCGTGGGCGCGGAAGCCTGAGGGATCCAAGAGAGATGATTCCTCTGTTTCTCATTATCGCGCTAAGAAGATCGCTTGATTTGCAACCTTCTAAAATATTGTCATAAATGTTATATATATAGTGTGAGCCGGTGAGAGAGAAATTATTCTGTGCAGAGTCTGAACGTAGATGATCTTCTGAATTACTGCGTACGCTATGCATAAGTTCTGCGTATGCTCTGTGTACTTACTGCTTATTTATAAATACGCAGTAAATTAGTAGCAAATAATTAGTTGTGAGGAATTGCTACTTATTTGTTGTGTATTTACAAATACACAGAGTGTAAGCAGATCATACGTAGTGCGTTCAGTAATCTGGATGATCCTCTACATTCTAACTTCACACAGAATAATTTCTCGTGAGAGAGGGCGTGAGCTTCTTATAGGGCAAAATAATGCATAGAACTATAACATAATAAAAAGAACCATGCTACACTACCAAAATAACTTCTATAAAAAAAAAAATTAAATTGAACTTCACTTTACTTTAAATTGTCTTAATAAAAAGGGCAGAATGTATAGCGCCCTTTTATTAAAGAATTATTTGAATAAATGAATTAAGTAAAGTGGATTTCAATTTGATTTTTGTGTGATTTTTTTTTTTTTTTTGGGAGTGAAGCTTTACTCTTAAGAAAAATAAATAATGTAACATAGGCAGTTACTTTGGCTCAAAGTTTGAGCACAACATTGCTTGTTATAGGAATATGATTTTCTGACAGTGGGATTGGTTATCTTCTATTTATTGGTATTATTACTTTTTTACACAAAGAAAATTAGCGAATATTTACATTTTTGGTAATCTTATGAACAATGCCTTGACATCATTCCAAGCCTCGCAAATTCCAAAATGTGAACATATCAATTCACATCACACTCAAGTTTTTCACTTAAATCCTTTACCTTGAATTCATACATTATATGAAAACTAAATCATATTGTTTAAAATTGTAATTTATTTAGAAAAAAGATTAGATTTATGAATTTTATTTTAACTTTTAGCTTCATATTGAATTTGAAGGATTATATTTTCATATTATTATTTTGTATCATTGACATTACTTAATTTCCATTTTTCATTCTATATGACATGACTTGGAATTCTAACATCTTTCATGTTCTTGAAAGCTTATAAATACCCTCTAAAATTGGGCGAATTATTACGTTCGGTCATCGGATGTCTGGACATCCAATCCGGGTGTGCCACGTCACCGAAATACTTTGGGTCCCGGTGTATTTTGGTGACGTGACGCGTCTGGATTGGTGTCTGGACGAATTCGGACACCGGACGTAATAATTTGCCCTAAAATTGAATGAGCAATAGACTGATGTTGAAAAACTTTTCTTATTTGCAATGTAGTGGCAAGACTTGATCTTCTCCCCATAAAGACTGGTAGCCCAACCATTAATATCATAATCGAAATTTCATTAGAGTACAAGGAGGATTATTTTGCATGCATGTGAAGATGAGTTTGGTGATTTTTTTTTTTTGTTGAAAACATTTAGTAAGTTTTTCAAACTTGCATGTTGTGTATTTTTTTTCAAGGTTGTGAAAATTGAAGCATAAGAAGATGTTCCAAGTTCAAATGTTCGATAGGGGTTAATCGGGAGTTGAACAAGATGACATCATAAATATTAAAAATTTTAAATAAAATTTAAATGACATAATAATAATTTAATAATAATGTAATAATATATTTTTTTACTAAAAAAATAAAATGAATTCATACATTAATAATAACTTCAACAATTTTAAATTTAATTTATATTCAACATGAATTTAGTTTACCTATAAAGTTATAAATTTAATATAAATTATTACTAATTTATATTATACATAGATCATCAATTAAATTTACATCTATAAAGTATTCATGTTAGAACATTTATTAATAACTAATTAATTAATTAATTTTGTTATAATGTATAAATGAATAAATAAATTATTAACTAAAAACAAATGTTATTTACATGATAGAAAATCTATTTAAAAATGTATACTATATGTTATAAATTTAATAACTTCAACTTATTTAATGACATCATTCCTCTTAGTATTGCTCAAATATTTTTTTGAGTTTGCATGAGGTAAGAATTCATATGGAGTTGTGGAGCCAGTGTGAAATACTTAGTTAGAATTTTTATGAAAAATAATTGTTTTAGGAATTGAATGTTTATTAAGAAACTAAACTAAAATAAATTTAAATAATTTGCTTAAAGGTAAATATTCATAATTTACTAGAGCATAAGCTTTTCATGAATAAAATTTTTATTTATTAAACTATGGAACTACTAAAACAAATCACAATTCCTTTGTATATCATCCTATGAATTTATTTTAATTATTATTGACATAGTTCTTAAATTTTTTAATTATAACAAAATTGTAAATAAAAAACATATCAAAGATCAAAATATCAAAATATGACCCTTATTCAAGTTTTATCATGTCTTTTCCTTTAACCAAAATTATATTCAACATAATATGATATGAGCTAAAACTTAAAGAGATAAATAATTAAAAATATATATATTTATACTAATGTATTAGCCTACTATATATCCTGAAATCTTAGCATGTGAATGATATGAATTAACCTCACATTTACTTGTAAGCAAAATATCTAATTGAAAATAAAACCTTAGGTAAAATATTAGAATTTCATGCATTAGTATCTTATAAAAAGTTTGTACAAATATCATTCTGCTAGCTAACCATCAAAAAATTTTTTATTTTGTTAATTTCATAAAAGATGTAATGTTCTTCTTTCAACTTTAGAATATATCATGTAAGTGAAAGTGATTTCTTGGCTATTGTAAGCTCGAGTCCGTGTTGATGGAGCAATTATTACGTCCGGTCATCGAATGCGTTCAGAGACCAATAACCACGTGCCACGTCACCTAAAACTCGGTATACATTCGGATACGTTCGGATTTCACCGGACGTAATAATTGCTCGTGTTGATGACACATTTGCCTTCATAGCGGCTCACCTTTGTTGTCATATTTGTATAAGTCATCATGTATATCTTAAATAGGTAACCCCTTTGCCTCCCAATGAGCTCGCCATTATCGCATTAATTAATTAAACATGTTATCACATTAATACCACACACACATATGATCTTTCAAAAACTCATTCCATTATATTTCTTTGTTCGAACATCTAGATGTATACATATAATTTTCATCTTATAACTTTATACACATGCACATTTAAAACAAAATAAATTATTTTTTAAATATAGGTTGTTTAAACTTTCATATAAATGGCGGATAATGAAATAAATCTATGTAATATATCCCATTACATTTTCTTATAAAAGGTGGGTGATGAAATTTAGTTTATTATAAAATTGCTTTCTAAAACTAGAATTTCAATAAAATTGTTTTCTTGAAATAAAATTGCATATCTTACCTAATTGACAACGTTGATGATCAACTCCTTAATCAACTCTCTATTTACTATCACCTCCAAACCTCTATCATTTGTAGAAAATCTAAATAATATATTTAGCATGTTAAAATCCAATCTTAACTTCTAAGGAAATTCAAAATTAATTTAACCTCAAAATACTATATATATTTTGAATATTAAAAGTTATTTTAGCTATGGTTGCATGATTTCATTCATTTATTTTTCATCTAAGTGTTTGTATATTTTCTTTCTATTATCAATGCATATTTGTTCCAATTGTTTTATATCAATATGATATTTATTTGTTATATTTGCATTTTCAAATTTCATTCCAACATTAAAAATTTAATTCCTCAAGGTAATTTTCTTAAAGAGGAGGATTGTTAATGCAAGATAATTTTTAATTTCCCACTAAATATGCAAGTATACGTGTTGATTAAGTAATAAAGTAATTAAATGAGTGCCAATCGATCCCATGAGATAGTGTTTAGCTACAATATAATCAAACTAGTACTATATATTATATATGGAAGGTTTATCCTTCTAAATGAAAATTAAAGATTTGAGATTCTACCACTTATTGAGAATGCAATTAAGGATGCGATACAAATATATATAATAGGTTTGGATTAATGCTTGTAAATAATAATATTTTCTGAATGAGCCTCTTAAATATTGATGTGGATCAAAGCATATGTATACTTAGATCTCTATCAAGTTTGTAGGGGTGAAAATGGACGTTTATGTCCTTCTTAAAATTCTAATTTATCCATAAAACCTAAAAGGCTAAACATCTTATATCTGGATATGCTAACATTCCATTTTAATACTTCTATTTGTTCAAATTTTCCTCTATCATGGTAATATTTCACACTACAAATAAACTATATATATGAACATTATATATGTTAAAGTAAGATTGGGGGATAATAAAAATGACTATAACTTCATTTAAGGTGCAATAGTCTACATTAGTACTTAAATTCTGTTTACATCATTAGCCTAATTTTCAAATTTTTGCTAGACAAAGATGAATTAGAAAGCAAACACATCTTTATCTTACTCATAGAAGAAAAGATATAGGAGAAATAATAAGAAAAATATCACTAGGATAGTATAAATAAACTTATCTACACTCTTCCCTCCTCTATTGCTAGGATTGCTTAAAAAAGATAGGCTAAGATCTCCAATAAAATTATATTTCACTTCCCTATCCTCCCTTAAACTTTATTCTAAGGGGCGACAAAAGAACTACATTTAAAGTTATAGAAATGTTCTATTAAATCATAGAATTCCTAAATAAAAGAACCGAAAAATTATTTATAATAAGTGAAAAAATGGCCTCAGGCATTTTAGAGCTTGAAATGGTGGCACCATTGTGTTATGAGATGAACTAACACCTTGGCGTTGTTGTGCTTTCGTCACTGCGATGTTGCACTGACTCGGTATAATTATTAGCTAAACTTGTGCATCGCTAAATAGATTTAGTGCAACTATGTATTTCCTCAACTACTTCATCGCGACACTGAAAAATTTGAGCACTACAGTTTTTGAACGTGCAATCTAGTGTTCCGACATTATAATACTTGGTGCTCAAACACTTAAATTCCTAAGACCTAGGTGCTACGACGTGTGTTTCTAACACTGCGACATTATGAAGTACCGTGGCACTGTCCTTGACTCTATTGGGGAGCTAAACTATTTGACATTATTCCTGATGCTCCGATGTTGCGGTTCCTTGATCTAGTACCAAGGCATTGTTAATGCGACAACACTTATAGTTGGAGAATTGTAGCAGTGGTTTAATACTTATACATTTTTTTCTTCTTTTTTGAGCATTTCTTAGACAACATCAACTAAAAAACTATATATTTTCATTAAAATTAAAGGTAAGAAATAGTACAAAATTTACACTTAATAAATTCTCCCCAACTTAAGCTTTTGTTTGTCCTCAAGCAATGGTGTGGTCACTTATTTGTAATTAGCTTAATAGTACTAAAATATAAAAAAATACGTCATGGTTTATAATTAATTTGGAATGATCAAAGTTGTAATAATAATTTAAAAATTTATAAAACATTAGCATAAGTAACTATCCTTATTATTGCTTGAATTTAACCTATTCAGTTTGAATGTATTTGCAAGTTTTGACTTCTAATTATAGAAATGAATAATAAATCTTTTAGTGATTAGATATGCTTATAATTAAATTAGAAGTTCATTAGTGTACCATTATGTGTATTAGTTCACTTACATATTTTGAATATCTATTTAGGCTTTATCCCTCCAATAACTCTATATAAAATTTATGTAAGGATTTAATAAGATTGCTAATTCCATAGTTAGGATTATAGAAAGTTTAAGTTATGAACTTCTTTTCTCTAAATTCTACTTATTCATTCTTTAATTTAGTAGTTAGTGCAATAGTGTAAAACTTCTAAGTTCAAGCCAAGTAAATAACTTAGATATCGATGATTCTCCTTAGTTAATTATTATGCTTTTCAAATTATGAATTACTATGTTTTATTCATTCAAATTATCATCTAAGAATTTATTATTATCTTAATTTTACATAATTTTTAATTATAATTTTTATTTTAGCTAAATAAATAATCAAAGTGCAACTGTTATTTAGAGGACAATTTTCAATAATATATTAAACATACAAAAAAATTTAATCAAATATAAATTATGCACAATAGAAACAAAAAAAAAAGTAAAGTAAACATAAACTATCAGCAATTAAATATATGGATACCTCCACATAGATAATCAGTTGATAAACAAAAAAATAAATTCAAGTTAAAATAAAGTATAGTTTATACTTAAAATATGCTGTTCAAAAACAAAAATAATAATAATACTAAAAATGAAAAACAACTGCAATTACAGATTTTCTTTTTTACAATAGCATCTTTTAAACATACCACATCAACATGTAAGCTAAAATCACAAAATATTTCCAACAACTTCGTAGGAAAAGATATTTTACAAACTTAAGCCTTGTTTGAGACGGCTTTCTTTCTACTTCTTATAGTGATTTTTTTTTTAAAATATAAATTTTTTTTACTAAAAAATCACTTTACGAAGTATAAAAAAATCGTCCCAAACGAAGCCAGTGCTTTGATTCTTTCCTCCTATTTTATCATATATGAATAAAACATCTACTAAAGTTGTAGAGCATCAAGAAAATGAGTCGTAAAATATTAGTTATCGAAGGTGCGGCATTCATTAGTCTCCGGATTGTCCTTACAGTAGTTCTCGAGAGGATCATATTCCTTAGCCCGGTCACGCGCGTGGCTGGCGGCGGCGCTGAGTTCCTCCACCTCATCCCACGCGGCGGCGCACTCACCGCTCTTCTCATCGCCGTCGCACGCCTCCTCGGCTTTTTTTATGCTCTCCGACACCTTCTCCGAAATCCCTCCCGGTGTAGATGGTGCACTCCGGACAACCCTAAGCCTGGCCGCCTTCTTTCCAAGGAGGCATCTGCTTGCGAAAAGGGGGCTCCTTTGAGGGAGCGCAGCAGGCTTCACGGAGCTCCATGCCTCCAGCACGCCGGTGGAGGTGGCGGAGAGGCTTGCGACTGAGAGATTTGTAGCCATATAGGGCGACGAGAGGTGGACGATTGCGGTTCTGCTGAGGGTGAGATATAAAGATAAGGGATGTGCGTAGAGTGCTGGGAAGAGAAGAGGTTTAGAAGGCGTTTGAGGAGGTTGGTGTTCTTTTGGGGACGCACGTTTCTTATCCATGTAGCTTCAATACAAAGGCGCCACGTTATCATAATAAAATCAAGTAGTTGATTCATTTCAAAATATCAGCAGCTTATCATGCCGCCATGGTTCGGTGTTTTGATTACCTTGGCAAAAATTGTTCGTTGGATGGAAGGGTAAGTATGAAGTGGTTATTAAATTCCTTAGAAGTCCTTACAAAAATCTTCATTGCGTTTATATATATATAGCGTCCTGAAATATTCGTTACGGTAGATAAATAAAAAACTTAGCATTTAGCTTCATACGAAGATCTAACATACAAATAAATAAAAATATAAGGGTTCATCGCTTAAATGAGATAAAAGAATTTTTACATGAAAACGTTTAAAAATGACGAAAAAAATCACAAAGTCTTGCCCAGTTGAAATTGATCTACTAGTGTTGGTAGTAGATTACAAATAATACCCCTCTTGGGAGGAGGGCGTTGGCTCAAATATACATTGTAAGAGCACTTTAAAATAGTTGGAGAATGAAATGTTAACTATTCTCAAGAGAATGCTGTTATCTTTGTTTGATTGGTAGGGTCATAATCAGGCAACGAAGATCGAAGGAACCGTAGTCGGCAAGTGACCGAAGTCAAAATAATCTTGGTTGGGCGACGGTGGTCGAAAGGACTGTAGTCGGCGGGCAACAGAGGTTGGAAGGGTCGTAGTTGGACATTTGTCGTAATTGACGAGTGAAGGAGGTTCAAAGGATCTTCGTCGGACGACATCAAATCATCCTTTAACTCAAGATCATGGAGAAGACAATATGCTGAAGATATTTCCAAACTTCTGAAGATTGGTCCCGTTGATCTAGATTGAATATATAATAGAGAATATTCCATCAATGAATGACGATGGCTGGAGATTCATTATTAATTAGTCATTGGATAGATGTCTGAAAATATTTAATTATTGAGAAAAGATCCAACGACAATCAATGAATAGCCGAAAGTCCGACAATGGTTGGTGGTCTAAGTCAGAAGATATATAGTCGATAGTCAGGAAGAGTTTAGACTAGTGGGGCAAGCTTGAGAAAGGAAGAAATATAATTTGTTTTTCTTCTCTTTCTCTCCTCCCATCTTTTTGTGAAGAATGAATGTTCTATTTATAATTTGTTGAGAGTGACATAGATCATAAATAGGGAAAAGATGTTGGGAGTGTTCCAATAGATGGTCGATATTAACTCCCTTGATCATGGGTTATTTATCAAGTATTTGAGTGTCTTAATGATGTATGAATTCGACAATCTTGGGCTCGTTGAATTTTTTTCTATCGAGCCGCACGATTCGATTATAAGCATGCCACATTTGGATATTATTTGGTAATTCAATTAATGTTATGAATTATTAATACATCAATTGATTCAAATAATAATAATAATAATAATAATAATAATATTGTTCTAAAGTTTCCTAATAAGCTTCAAGCCCTTGATTTCTACCCATTTGGGTTCGAATTCGACAAATTTTGGTGTCGTTGGATTCGTCTCTTTGAGACATTCAATTTTTTTATAAGTTTGCTAAAATCAAAGTTTGGAGGGTCTCAAATTTAATTTTGGAAGTTATGATTCATATTCGCATTGAGATTTGTGCTTGGTTAAGATATTTTTTGATTATATATATAAACCTATTTTTGGGCTTATATGTTAATTCATCAAAAGGGATTTCTTGTCCTTAAAGAAATTAATAACTCACTAATGCTCATAAAGCTACAATCGAAAAGCCAAAAAATTCCTGAAAATCAAAAGATCCTTTAATTTCTAAGTACAAAATAGAAGCAAAAAGGATAAACGAAGAAAGATAGGCATGAAGCATAACCCCAAAAAATAATAACATGAAGCTACAATCAGATTTTGTGATTTCTATACCTTAACCAATTAAAATTCATTTTCTTGGGAATTTTTTTTTTTTTTTGAGTTTTTGATATTTTTAAATTTAGTCTTAATTAGGTTCCTTCTGCTATTTTAAACATGAACAATGATTTTTCTTAAAATTTTACTTTTTTTATAATAATATATATATTCATGATAATTATAAGACAATTTATTATTATTTTTTTAAAAAATTTAAAATACATCAAATAAATTTAATAAACTTTACTTTTCTAAAGATAATCATACGATCACCATTTAAAAGCATACAGGCTACAGCCGACCCAAATAAACTCCAAAAAAAAAAAAATCATCCATTAAATATTTTGTGCAGAAAGAACCTGCTCAATTCTACGCGTCAATCATATACTTTTTTCAAAGTCGCCGTCTGGTCTCAGTCCGCGCGTGAGCCATAGAACGCCGGAGCTTCCTAAGCGGTCCACTCCCCCATCCCGGCCTCCCCCATCCCGACCTTCCCATCCACTTTACTAACCAGAAAATTTCGAGCTTTCTTCTTTGGAATTGGGGTTTTGGTTTGCCGTAGAAGGTTGATGGATCTCCGACAACCTCGTGTTCGATTTGCGCTACTAATCGCTGGAGTTATCGCCCTCAGCATGGCAGGTTTTCTCTCTCTCTCTTTCTCTTCTCCCCGCTCTTCGTTTTCTTCCTCTCCCTTCTATAACCCTGTTGAATTCCATTTACAGTAAAATTTCTTACTTACCATCGTGACCTCAATGTATGAATTGAGCTAGTATTTTTCTGCTTTCTGTGTTAAAAAATTCTCTTGATTACAATATTTTGTCTGTCTGTCTCATGTTCAAAGAATCATCTCAGGTTTAATCCAATTGTTGAATCCAAATGTATCCATGGACAACACTCAAAGCAAATTTATAACATTGATTAAGAAGCGGTAGAAAAAAGAGATATAAGAGAATCATTAGGAAAGTGCCATGATTTCTTATTGCCCGAAAGTTGAAACTCTAGACGATGATCTTCGTTAAGCTTGCCTTTATAGGTGGTTTATGGCGTAACTTCTTAGAAAATATTACATTTAAAAAAATTGAATAAATTACATATTATAGCTTAATGAAGGCTTGTGAGAAAATGAATATATATCAGGTATAACTGTTAGACTTGCATTAAGAATTTCTAGATATGGGGCAGGCTCATGTGAATTCGTTGGTTGCCTTCACCTTCTTTTGGTTGAGTTTAAATGTGTTATGTAGAAGGTATGGGTGAATCTACATAATCGGCCTCCTAGGTTGACTATGTTGGCGAGTTAATTTATTAGTTCTATTATGCTCACATAGTCATCTCAAGGAATTTGGACGACTTGATCTTGCTGACGATTTTGTTAGAGTGAAGGAGGCCACTTTTGATTGATCATGGGTTGATGAAGCCCAATCATTTAGTGAGTTTAGACCATAAAATTTGCTGTGTTGGAGAAGGCTTCTCTGCTGCACATGTCGACTACCACTTTTTGGGATGACTTACAAGGAGCTCACCTTTGTCCTCATAAATGAGCTCCACTCAGTGGCTATGGAGGCGAATACTGTGAGCTGGTAGACCCTCAATTAGAAACTTATATAAGACTATCTAAAGCCACTCACAATGGAGAGATTATTTCTATTTGATCAATTATTTTGACAATGATGATGAATAGTGAATAAATTTTTAATATTGACAAATGTGTTTAAATGGGAAAAATAATGACTTTCTGCCAATTCATAAAATCCTAATTTTTTTGTGGGGGAATGGGGACTATTAAAGCTAGAGGAGAAGCTTCAGGTTTGGGGGCTCAGGCTGCTAGAAAAAAAACTATTAATGCTTCGACCAGTTTAAACCACAACAAAATATAGCAATGGCTATAACATTTGTTACATAGTGGTAGTTAAAATTGTGGCTATATGGCAGCAGTTATAATAGCTGCTATGCTGTTAAAGCAATTTAAACGGCTACTATTTCACTACGTTGATTTTAACTGATGCAATTAGCAAGGATTATAACCACTGTTTTATGAAAATTGCCGTAGTTATAACGGCTGCAAACAACAAAATTTTGTAGTTTTTTAACTGTTAGATGTAACTGCTTCCTTACCTATGCTACTGTAAATGAAAAACATCATGGAACTTTACAACTTAATTTTGTTTTTGAATTTCTCCTGTTTTCCATTACTTCAAAACATGGTAAGTCATCGGATGCCAGACATGATGCTCTTCTTCGAGGTGATAAGGAGCGATGGCTAGCTTCTGTGGGGATGTATAATCTACCTTGCTCTTACCAATGGGGACCATTTAAGATGGCTAACCATTTGTCCTTTTAGCCGATGTGTCAGGCTTGTTTCAAGTGGCACACATGCCTTGGTTATTCCTGTTCATGCATGTTTTGATTAGTGTTAAAATGTTTCCTTTGATATTATCATTTGTATATATATATATATATATATATATATATTTGAGTGATTCATGCGTTTGGTAGCATTTTGTTCATGCTATAACGGGTCACTTATATTTTTTTTCTTTTAAATAGCTGAAAAGTTCAGGGAATTGGTTGGAGAAGATGCTTCATCCAAAAGTGGCAAGTTCACATTTTTGAACTGCTTTGATATGGGCTCCGGTACATTATCATGTATCAGCAAAGAGGGTGTTAAGCTCTACGTATACAACATTCGAAGTAAGCATGTTGAAAATGTAAGGCAACGAGCAATTGAGGTTGCATTGACCGATGCACTAAAAGAAGGGCTAACTGCCAGTGCTGCAGCGAAGCAGGCACAGAAGGTGGGTCAGAATGCCGCAAAATTAGCTTCTCGACAGGCCAAACGTATCGTAGGACCTATTATATCCTCGGGTTGGGATTTCTTTGAAGCTGTCTATTATGGTGGCTCTATGATGGAAGGAGTTATTAGAGGAATTGGAACCTTGTTTGGGACCTATGCAGGTGGCTTTCATGGTGAAGAAATTTTTGGAAAATTGGGTTATCTGCTTGGAAGCCACATGGGCAGTTGGGTTGGAGGGAGGATAGGCTTGATGGTATATGATGTGTGTAATGGGATGGCTCATGTTCTTCAGCTTTTCACGACAGAAGGAACCACTGGTAGTGATTTTAGAGTCAATGAAGATGTACAGTCTGAAGATTCATACAGGATCGAAGAGAACACTGCTTTTGATGATGCATCCGTAATTGATCAGAATACTAACTATGAATCTTTCCGTGAAGATACTGATTACAGTGAAAATTCTAATGAGAGATCTGAAGACTCTAATGGTTGGGGATTCTTTTCTGGGAGATAATACAGACAGAAGTTAAAATATCAAATGACATCTTGATTTGCTGCATTCAAGCTGAGCCCTTAAGGCTTTGTTTGGGACAGCTTTCTTACTGCTTTTTAAAGCCATTTTTTAGTACATCATTTTTAATTTTTGTACCAAAAAACTGTTTTAAGAAGCAATAAGAAAGTCGTCCCAAACGAAGCTTAAATGATTGATTTGCTTTACTATAAATATTCATGTATTAGATTTCTTTAGTGAATACATGAGTTTGACCAAGAGGTTTATTTTAGGTTATATAAATTGAGGTTTATTTTAAATTTTCTCTTGCTTGTGATCGTATATATGTTGGCTACAGTTTAGTGGTTGAGAAATAGTCGTATAAATGATAAAAATGCTTATGGTTTCAATAACCAAAGCTATGATGGTGACATTATGATGTCCCCTAACAAATCTTTTAGTAAATAGGATCTCTAAGTCTGTAAAGGTAAAAGACTGACCCATTATGTAGTTCAGCATACCAATTGAATGTGAAATTAAATAAGCTACAAATGAACTATTTGAATAACAATGCAGCACTGCCCTTAGCATTGCAATAATTGGCTCTAAAATGTGCTAGATACTGCTTCATGAATTGGCTCTAAAATGTGCTAGATACTGCTTCATGGTTATTCGTGACATCAAAATTTTAAATAAGGGTGGCATAAATCCTTTCAGGTATGGGACCAAGTCGTATTCTTCTAAGTATAGCCTACCACTTAGAACATATGAAGAACCTTGAAACTATGTTAACTGCTCTTTTACTTGCTTCTCTATTATTTGCTTTAAATTTATTGACTATATTGATTCTTTTTCTATCTTTACTAGTTTATCCCCAGTTTCTTTAACCACTTCTTTTTGTTTGCTGACATGCTAGATAGATTCTACTAGAACTGATTTTATATGTGCTCTAGATGAAGGCAATTCATTGCTATACAAGACGACCATTTTAAAGTTTTGCTTTATTAGATTCCAGTAATGATATATGTTTTTAGTTGATGTTATGCAAGAAAGTTAAAAAAAAAAAGAGCAAAATTGTAAAATTTAGAACAAGCACTGCAGTGTAGAAACTATTAATGCTGCAGCATCTTTAATGCCCGGCCCATATCAGGACAGTGCAGCGCAGGAGTCTCAGAAAAATGTCATTTAATTCAGCAACTTGACGAAACAAAGGCAATGCTCAACTTTTGCAGTGCCTCTATAGAACAATTGATGAAATGTAGTGTTGCATAGGATCAGCCAAACATCACACTAGATCCACAAACAGCTGCTACAGGTCAGCCCAACACCACCACGGAGAACATTTAGTAGCACTAAAGCGCTAGTTCATTTTATAAAGCAGCGATGCCATCTTGTCTAGCGCCACAACGCCTGAGTCCATTTTTTTTGTAATTAGTATAAATAGTTTTTCTTATTTTTTATATGAGTTTTAGTAGAACATAGAGGAAAGCCTAAGAGAGATTAGAGAACAGTGAGATACATCATTTAGAGTGGCTGGTGAACATTGTAGTGAGCAAATAATCAATTATAATGGAAAGGAGTGTGTAGAGCGAAGTTCTAAGGGGAGATTCACTTTGATATGTTCTTCAGCTTCTCTATTTGTACTGTCTTTCTTGAGCAATAAATAAAAGTTATTTTAAAAAAAAATTATTCTATGGCCTGCTAAACTCATAGTTTTGGACTGATGATGTGTACACCTATACAATCCTAATATAGACCCTTGTGATTTAAAGTTTGAACAATTATTTTCAACATCTCTCAATCTTCATTTACTTGATACCCTAACCATGTATAAAACTAATATATAGTGTGATGCATTGCCTCAATGGAGGAATATTGGAGTTTGTGATGATGCTATTAGGCTTCATCTGTTTCCATTTTCTATGAGGGACAAAGCTAAGATGTTGTTCGAATTCCTTGCTCGTAGGCTCCATAACCACTTTGTATGATTTGTCACATAATTTCCTAAAAAAATTTACTTCCCGCTATCTAAAATTACTAAGCTTAGGAATGATATAACTTAAATTCTTGCTTGCCTCAAAGCAAATAAAGAAATTTGCAATTCAGATTAATTAAATAACCCAAATAAAAATTATAATTTAAAAATTACTAAAATATAGGATAATACATCATAGTCTAGAAATAGTAGAATTGAACAAGGTTATAATTCAAGTTTGGAACAATACTTATAATTATTATAACTTGTCTTTATTATTATTGCTCAATTTTGAATTTACATGTTATCAATTTAATTATTGACTTTGAATTTTTTCAAGTGAATAATTTAACTTAAAGATTAGATTTGTTTGTAGTTAAAATTGAATTTTTATAAAATTAACATTCTGTATCAGTTCTCTCATCTTGTCCTGTCTAAATTTTAGTATAATATTGCAGTCATATTTTAAACTTTTAACTGATATTATTTTTTTAATGCACATTTTTTTCTTCTTTTCTTTTTTTTAGGACTTTTTTCAACTTTTTTTTTTTTTTTTTACTTTTACGAGTATATAGTTAATGATTTTGAATATCAGTTTTACTTAAAATCTTCTTACCATTTTAATGAGTTTAATATAAGTATTTAATAGATCCTAAGTCATGGACTATCAATAAGCACCATTCTTATCATGTGTGACAACAATAGTGTCATCTGTATTAAAAAATAATAATTTAACACTCCCATACTAAGCATATAGATATTAGACATTATTTCATTAGGGATCATGTAACCAAGAGAAATATAGAACTGTATAATGTAGGCACTAAAAATTAATTTGTAGACATTTTCACTAAATCCCTAAACTATTATATCTTTAGCATATTGTGGACTAGACAATGTCTCATTGATATTCCTTCTTGATAAAGGGTGAAAGAGATATCATCACACTTGTAATCATATGTTTTGTGTGTTCTTAAATGTGTGTTAAATTTTGTGACTTATATTTATTTGTTTTTCTATTTGATTTGTTTTTTTATGATGTTGGTACTTAGTAGCTATTCTCTGATTATCACACTAATTTAGAAAAAAAACAAAAAAACAAAAAATTTCTCACATTGTACTCTACTAATAGTATTCATATTGTATCAACTTCATTCATTCGTACTGTATGATATTTACATCGTTGCACATCCTCACCACTCACAAAATTAATGACCAAGATCTAACTAATAATTGATAATCATACCGCACGACCACCACTTTGTACTATACAATCCACATTTCAACAACTGTTGGATGAATTCAAATTTACTAGTATAATAATAATTGCACCATCATATTGACAAACACTTGTTCACATTGTACAATCTGTTAGTCAAAAATATGTCTAGATGACTCCTTGGGATGACCATTTTTTTCAAAATGATCCTGATCATACTACACAATTTGACCACCTTTTTCTAATAGTCATCTAGATGATTTAAATTCACCTAATCGTACTGTACGATCTAAATCATACTATATGATACACAGAAAAAATCTATATAATGACAGGGATTTCTAAGAATTCAATCACTCAACTTCCTTACTCCTTTTTTCACTTGCATTTGTAACCTAAATCTTCTAAATGGCTGGAAACATCCCAATTGAAGCCCAAGCCTCTTCTCAGTAATTAAACTACATCTAAGTCGATACTGATTTGCTGGACCTTTTTAGCCTTTCAGAAGATTGACTTCATTGCATTTGCGATAAAGGATAATATTATATTTCTATGCACTTCATATTCAATTACTGGCCATACAAGAGAAAACAATTTAAACAATACAAACTAGAAAATTGCCCAGACACAATGACCCCTTATCTTGAACATAACAAGTCAATAAAATCAATTTATAACAAATAATTCGACCACTTGAGTTCCACCAAATATACCTTCCTGAGATAGGATTGGTTCACAAGTAAACAAGCCATTCTGTTCTTATATAGGGTACAGAAGACAAATATATATGTATATGAACGAGAGGACAATGGAGCTGCAGAAAGCACCCAGAACAGTGCTATAAAACATTAGTTATGTCCTGACAAAGCATACAGGTAGCCATGAACCCTTAAATATTTTGGCCTTTCCACTATAAACACGCCGGCAAGGCTAAGGCTTCGTTTGAGACGACTTTTTTATTACTTGAAGCAATTTTTAGTAAAAAATTAAAAATTTTATACTAAAAAGCAGCTTCAAAAAGCAATAAAAAAAGTCCCAAATGAAGCCTAAAACTACCAAGCAGCACCACATGCAAGCCCTGCATTTTGGTTAAAAATGCAAGCACTGCATTTTGATTTCATGGTTAAAAATCAACCATGAAAATCAATGGTGTCACTGAAGTCAGTGCTTCCACTCCTGGAGCTGCTCCCAGTACGACTGTGAACAGATAAGCTTTTCATATTGCCTACAATAGCAGGGCCATCCAAGTGCTTCCCCTTGAAAAATCTTTCCCTTTCCATGTGTTTTGCCGGAGGTGGAGGTATGGAGCCAAGTGGATGATGAGGCAGCCGTGGTATGCTATCTTGATCGTTTGGTTGTATGCAAAGAGGCCGTGCAAGAGGACGCCCAAGTTCTTCATCAGAAATATATCTTAAAGAACTGCCCAAGAACTCTAAATTATCTTCTGCAAGAGCTTTTCCTTTGCATATCCTGTAGAGATATACATAGAGAGCTAAAAATAAGATGCTCTATAAAGAAAAATGGCTGAAGGCATTTCTTTCACGTTGATTCACTAAATGCTAGCAATAATGAATAACATGGTAATAAGTACTACCAAGTTGGAGGAAACCTTAATTGCGGAATGAGGCTATTGTTCACATTTCCAGAACTTATTTTTAACCGGTTACTTTCTTACACCCACAGAAGCAGCTAACCAGCTCGATAAAACAGTAGTTTCACACGAACAAAAGATTATTGAGAAGCCCAGAGAACGCAAAAGCTCAAGGTAAAAGGACTGAGAGCTGATGGTACATTTGATTTTTTTACTTTTTTCTCCTTTTTGAGTTTTAAGAAACTTGATGACATGAAATTTTTATGACTCAAATTGTACCTTAAGCACCTCCTGCAACTTTCGTAATTTAGTGACTTAATGGCTCATAGGAAATACTTGAGTTCGCAAGTAACCCTAAGGGGAAATATTTGAGTTCGCAAGAAAACCTAACAATAATTGGTGAAAACAGCGAGAAATCTGTTGATTTCAGAGAGAAATCATCAATATGATGCAGAAATTTCAGAAAATTGGAAAGAAAACACAAGGAAAATTCTTTTATTCAATCCACAAACAAGAAAAACAATACAAAATACAAGTTTCTTCAATTCGAGAGGAAGAAACAACTCTCCAAATCTCTAGCAAAGCCTAAAACCCAAAAGAACAAACCCTAGATCTCAAATCTCTCTTCCAATTCCAGATCAAACCCTAATCCTCCCAAAGAGAACTAATTAAATCAAAGAGGACAAATACAAAATCCCTAAACAGCCACTAATTTAAATTTTCCCTCCCAAAGTAACATTTAATTAAGTTTTGGGCCCCATCTCTCCAACCGGCCTATCTTTGTCTTCCCCTTGGTTCTGCCCTCGCCTCTTGTAGTAAAGAACCGGTCTAGGTTGGACCGATTCAGCTGGCCCTAGGGCCAGCCTAACATTACGCCCCCTCATAAAGACTCACATTGTCCTCAAGGTGAGAAATAAAAAGAATTGATCTTTCACCCCCTCATAGGACTCCCAAGTGGCATCGAAATCGAGCAGGTCTCTCCATCTAATAAGCACTTCTTTATTCCCCTCTTTATCTGATCTTACCCCTCTCAACTCTAGTGGTTCTAAGATCACTTCCAACTTCTCTGTCAGTGTAGCTGGTAACTCCGCAATAATTGCATGCTCCCCAAGAGCTCTCCTTAACTGGGACACATGGAAGACTGGGTGTATGGTGGTGGATGGGGGTAAACTTCAAATGGTACGCCACTGCTCCGATCTTGTCCAAAATCTCGTAGGGGTCGAAGTACCTTGGGGCCAATTTGCCTGAATGGTCACAGTTTTAAGAATCTTTCTCCACCACTTCAAATTGTTGTCTCTCCTATGTGTATATGCCTGCTTCTTCATGATTTGTTGTGCCCTCAACAAATGCTTCTTCAACTCTTCCAACACCTCATCCTTTCTTCCAAGTACTGTTCTACTGAGGAAATTGGTGTGCTCCATTTCCCAAAGTACACCAAGTGTGGGGGTCCCTTCTTGTCACGACCCGACTAGCCCGAATTAACGGGGTGGGAGCAGACAGTAGTACGGAAAAACCATAACATAAATCATAACAATTCATTTAACTTTTATAACATGACATAAACATCACCAATACATAATAAGAAAGATTCACTAAAACATCAACATTAAAGTCTTTCCAATTTCTTTTTTCTCAACCACAATAATTAAAACATAAACATCAACATCCACATAAACTCAAATAGATTGTTCAGATACAAACCACCAACTCAAACTCATAACAGGAAACACAAAAACTTTCTTCCTGAGGTCCTCTACGACGGTAGGTGTACTATCGTCTCGTTGTCATTACGTTTCAGATGGTTCTCCTGAAAAAAATTCCCACAAGCAGGGGTGAGCTTACTCGCTAGTAGGTAATTCATATTTTTCATAAAAATTTGCATAAAACCAAAATAAAGCATCATTTCATAATAAAACATTAAACGACGGTCAAACTTTCATAAATTTATAGCATTACTTAAGAAACATTTTCATAAACTTTCCTCAATCATAAACATTTCATGTATCTTTTTTCTCAAACATCAACTTTCATATTGTGTAGAAAACATACATATTACATATTATGCATAATGTCTATTATATCACCGGTCTCGGATGTGCCCATAAATTTTTGTACTGATCAGGTACACATTTTATATAATTTGATCATTCATTTACCATTGGCTCTAACGAGTCTCCTTTACCATTTAACTCTTTCGAGTCCCTTTATCATTTGACCCTTTCGAGCCCCTTTACCATTTGGGCGCTCCACATCAGCATGCACAGTCTTATATAATAATTTTTGATTTATATTCAGTCAATTATATGCTTTAAAGAGAAACACTTGTGAATCAAAAATAATTTATTTAAAGCATGAAAACCTTGAATCTAAGCATAGTATGAAAGCTCACTAACAATATGAAATAAAAGACTTGAACATGCTATTTGCCACAAATAAAACTTGGAAACCATTTAACTAGAAAGTATCAACTATTTGCATTGCATAAAGAACAAAACATAACTATAAAAATTTTACAAATAATATGTGTACCTACCTTCACTCAAGCACAGTAGTTCATCAAAGTGTTGCTTTGACACACCTCGATCACCTTAAAGATCACAACCTAAAATAATCACATAAAAAGATGTGTCACTAATCAATCTTCCTTAAGGTTTAATCTAATTTCTAATTGTCTAACCCTTCGTTTACCCTTAATTATTGCTTATGACGATTAATAAAATTTATATTATTTAACCTAAATTTTCGGATTTATTAAAATCCATAATTTTTTAAAATCCTAAATCTTCAATTTCATCAATTTAATATGCCGAAATTATCCCTAAAACTATATTAATAATTACCTTAATGATTTTCGGATTAAATTAATTAGGAAAATTAAGAAAAAAATGAAATTTATTACAAAAACTCAAATTTTTGTTTTAAAAAAATTCTTAAGGCCCTTAGAAACAATTTTTGTAAAAGGACTTTAAGGAAATTAGATTTTAGGTAAAAGCCTTAAATTTTTTATTTCCAAAAATTCTCCAATAGAACATTTCTATCGTTAAAATACTTCCCTAATCATTCCTTAAAGATTTCGTAAAGAAGTTTTGAAAGAAAACGAAATTTTTATAAAGCCCTAGAAATTGTCTCCAAATAACTTGAGATTGAGAGGGATTTGTTTCGAATAAATCATACCTTAAAACTCCCCTCGCCGTCCTCTTCGATTTCCACTAATTTCTTCGCCGGAAAATCGCTGCCGGAACGTTGCCCGTCGAAGCTCGATGTCCGCCCCTTCCGCCCTTTCCTCTTGGTTTTGGCCGATCGTGCGAATGGAATGAGGGTGGGGTTTCAATTTTTGCTATATTAGAAGATAGGAAAATCCAAAAGGCTATTATGCCCTTACTTAAACAAAGTCAACTTAAGAAACAATTAGTGGTAGAATTGGTATTTAGAAGCTTCCCTAATTTTTATCTCTTAATTTAAGCGAAATTGGATGCAAGTTCTATATACCAAATTGAACAGAATTTTGCGTAGAATTTTATAAAATTAATTTTGTCAAATTCCGTTAACTTTAATTTTTTCACTTAAGTTTCGTCGTGATGCATCGAACTGCGCGCGACAACCTACGATCGTCGTTTTCGAGTTTTACACTTCCGTACAACACTTTGAAAGGGGTCATCTGAGAAGCATAATGGTACGATGTATGTACCAATACTCGGCCCATGCTATCCATTTTGCCGACCTCGGTATTTCAGAAGCAGAACACCTCAAGTCTCCAAACTCCGATTTACTACCTCCGTTTTCCCGTCCGTTTGAGGATGGTAGGTGGTGCTTCTCTTGAGAATAGTGACTTATAACCTGAACAACTCACTCCATACTGGTTGAGGAACACTGTCTCGATTAGACACTATCAACTCTGGAATCCTATGTAGTCTAACCACCTCCCTGATGAATGTTGTTTCCACTGTCACTGCGGTGTAGGGGTGTCCTAAGAAGATGAAATGTGCATACTTACTCAGCCTATCAACCACCACCATAATAATTGTGAACCCCTCTGATCGTGGTAGGCCATATTTTTATCATTCGGAGTAATATATCATCTTTCTTATGTTCTACTCAATCACAAAATGTGTAATCCGTTAATGACAAAATTTCTCTAACAATTACATTATTTAAAAATTACAATTATATAAATATTTGGAATTATATAACCTAAAATTCAAATTGCGCGCGTTAAGCACAATGCACACACATGGCGCACGCTAATTTGAACATGTGCGCCGTGCAATGCACCTGGCGCCGTAAGGTGCATCGTGCCATGTGACATGGCGTGCACCATTATGTGCCATGACAAATATGATTTATGGTTAAACTCTCATTAAGAATTTCATGAAACATAAAATTATATTATCCCCAAATCAAAAGCAAGACACCTACGTATGTTGAGATCATCATTACAAAGTGCAAATGAGCATCAACATTTTCTTTGAAATTTCATAACTTATAAAACTCAGAACACTCCTCAGAACATTCTATGTTGGAAAATGTCGGTCTGTATTGATCCATCACATTGCCCATTAAAGCCTATTGAGCACAATAAATAAATGTTACAAGAGCATTTAGTGGTATACTTCTCAGATTGTATATTGGCAGGTAATCAAACAAGACGACTCCTACAAAAGAACAGTACCTACGAAGAAGAAGCTTTTCATCCTCCTCTGCTTCTTCATTAACAAATAAACCTGTTGTAGAGGGGGCTCGAGAAGAGAGAAGTGAATCATGTTGGGTAAGAACCTTACCAAGCAGCTCATTCAATTCAATTGCTTGAGCAATCACTTTCTCATCACTAAAAGAAAAAACAAAGAAAAATTGAGATATTGATTAGCACACTTGATCTGATAAAAACAATGGAATTTCAAAACAAAAATTTGTGCAATAGCAGTTCAAATTTGCAATGCACCAACAAACTTGCATACAAAATGGCTTGCAGGAAACTAAACGAAAATGGAAAATATTGAGGACTCATTAAATCGCTTATGAATAGAAAACATGTTTTATATTTTCAGTGATTATGAATATAAAATCATTACCTGTGAAGAAGGTTTGAGATAGTTTATAAATTTTAAAATCGATGTTGATGGACTTAACATACTACATAGATTTAAAAAAATATGATTGTCATCTCCAAGCAACCAAATGGGACGTGAAATAAATTAAAAGGCTTTAAGTTTTTATTTAAGACTTAAAAAAACAGCAATAGTAAATTTTGACACCCCTACTATATTCTTAATGGTTAGAATGTGCCCTAACAAAAACTAATTAAGAACTTATAGAACTTAGAAGTGACAATTTCAAGCTTTGTAGGAAAGCAAAGTAGGTGAAATGCTTTAAGGATTCTGCTGCAACTCTCAATCACTTCACTTTCATGTTTATCTCATTAATTTCCTTATCTTTTTCTCATTTGTTCTATATGCCTCAAGGTTTTAAGGAGATTTTAAAATCAAAGACATCTAAAACTTGTTCACTTTCCCAACATAAAAATCCTAGTAGGAAAGTTGACTTAGATCCATCTTCATTGCAAAAGTTAATTTATGCATTTTAGTATTATTTGATGAATGTTTGCATATAATCAACCATCTTACATTTTCTAATCATTTAGGGCTGCACATAACCAATCTACAAACATTAAAAGTTTGGGGAAAAAAATCTTTCATGCTTTCTACGATTATTCTTTTATTTTTAATTACAACATAACTTTTTTCATTTCCGTGTTCATACATATGTACAGAAAGTTATTGAAATCCTCTCTTTTAATGTGCCTGTTATTTAGGGTTACATATTAAACTTTGAACCATATATCACACCATCTAGCATGGTAATAACCTAGATCAATATACCTAGGCTATCCTGCCTAATTCCGCAAGGCCAGCCCGCTGAACACATCCTAATATTATCCGATAGAAACTTGATAAAACATTTTCAAAAATAGCAACTAGCTAATTGTTTTTTTACAAAGAACTTTCTGTAAAGACAAACGCATGTAAATTTAAACAAACAGAATAATAAGAATGATCTAGAAAAACTAGAAAAGATAACAAGCATGCAAATACATCTGTAAAAAGAATAAGGTGAAAAAATAGGATAAGATATCTCAGCATTTATGATGGATAGAGTAAATAATGACAAGTGAGACGATGAAAATGAAATTGTGAACCTCTGTTGATATACTGAATGTTGCGAGAAAATTCGGTGTAGAAGAGAAACTGAAAAAAAAAAAGAGCTTTGAGGAGCTGAATGAAAGCATCAAGGGAAGAGACAGATTGAAGAGAGAAAAAACATCATAGCAAAGAGAAAGAAATTAATCCCATAAAGGACAAAAAGAAACGCCATATCTTTACTGCATAATTAATCATCTTCAATTACAACCTAAAGCCTACTTTTTAAAGAAGTAGAATATCTTCTCTTGAAATAAAAGTATTTTAGCAAAAAAAAAAAAACATTGATGAAAAAATTCCAAAATAGGGTTGCCACTTATATAATGATGATGATCGTCACTTTTATGACAAGATTTATAGGGTTTTGAACCTTTTTTGGCTCTGATGCAACATCATGCGGGGTTGTTAATAGGTTTTCATATTTGTTGGAGGTTTGTAGAAGGCCAAGGAAGGTAGAGGCTAGTTTTAGGATTTTTAATAAATTTCTGGCTTAAACTTCATGGAAGTAGATAGATGGGTTTTCATCGTTGAAAAATTAAAGAGAAATTCAGATCAAAGGTTTTTTTATATTAGCTAACTTATAAAGGCGATTTTAGATCAACTGTATATGTGGATAGGAAGCCATGAATTTTTATTTGTATTGGTCATGATAGGTGGACAACAAGAGGAGTTTGTGAGGGTTTAGCTATATTAAGGCTTCGGAAAGATTGTGGAATGTTGAATAACAAGTATAGAGAGGAACAGAGATAAGTTATGGTTCGTAAACCTGACTCGCAAATGAAAGCTAGCAGCATCAACTCTACACAAGTTTTTGCAAAAGATCATTGCTATTGGGGGGGGGGCCTTGTTGGACTGTGGTTGCAGATAAATAATTCAATAAGTGTTGTACAAACATAGGGAAATATAAAAAAAATTTCTCCAAACCATAATGGGTAAGCTCCTCAAGGAACCTTATTTTGAAACTACTGTAAACCACTACAATCATAAAAAGTATTCCAAACCTTTGAATACAATTATGAATCCTCAATTTGTGATAATGAATAGCTCCTAAAACTCCATCCAAAAATGATGTAAGCAAACTAAAAAGAAAAGCCAAGTAGGAGAACACAAGGACAATAAAACCAAACTCGATTCACTTTAACTTGCAAACCATCCAAACAAACATCTAGATAAACGAAAAGTCAAATCGAACGAAACAAAATTATAACATAAAAATGTTATCCTCAGAACAACCGTCAAGCGGTTCCTCACATGCAACAAGAGTAGGAAAGTATATGAAAATTAGTGCTTAGGCTTGCAAACCGAGGGTCCACCACTACAAAAGGGTCCAATGTACTACCAAACTCCTCCGGCAAATGTCACCAAAAATCAGCCAACAAACAACTTCCAAGAGCTCAAGAAGAAGGATACAAGTGGAGTGGAACTTGCGTAGAGAAGAAGAGATTAGAAGCCAAGACGAAATAGAGAGGAAAGGGGGTGGAACAAGCTCTCAAGTTTTTCTAAGAGAAGAAACCCTCAGGTTTTTAGTAGAGACTTTGCTCGAATACCTTTTTCATTCCAAAACATCTCCAATTTATAAGCAAAAGGAAGAAGCCAAACAGCAATTCCACCTCCAACCAAAACCAATCAGGTTTGGGGAAATGAAAGGCCAAAAGACACCACAGCAGCCCCCAAATTCTGCACAGAAAACAAGAAGAAAAGCCACGGGAAACTGTTAGACCGGTCCAGCCGGTTCAGGCGGGACCAGTTCACTGGCGAAATCGCAAAACAGGCGGAGAATCCGCCTCCTGGCGGAGAACGAGCGGCCCGACCAGCCCACGTAGAGCCGTTTAGGAAGTTTTTTTTTGGATTTTTGAGAGGGAAATTTGAATGTAGGGACTGTTTAGGGATTTCCTTTTGATTTGTATGCATTAAATAGTTGATTTTCCTAGGGTTTGGGTATCTGGAATTTGGCTGAAATTTGAGATCTCTTAGATTTAGGTTTTCTTTGGGCTCTAGCGGCATCTAGAGATTTGGGAGAGATTGATCCTCCTCTCGAACTGAGGATCAATTGTATCTTTTCTATTCTGTTGCATCTATTAGTAAAATACAAGTCTTTTCTCCACGGTTTTCTCTCCGATTTGCTATTTTTTCACTATTGTGTGGCTGATTTCTGCTGTGGACAGCAATAAAACTGCAGCAGTTTACTGATTTTGACTAGGAACACTTGTGAATACAAGTGTTTCCTATCAAATTGGTATCAGAGCATCGTTTTTGGGACCGTTGGCGGCTGAAATCCTGAAATTTCAGCGGGATTTCTTTTCCAGAAAAAGATCTTCGTGAATCTTGAGAAGAACGATGGCCGGAAAGAAGGTTGACGTCTTGGAAGGAGAAGTCGGCTAATTGAAAGCCGATTTGGAGGAAAGATTCTTCAACCTTCAAAATCAAATCACCTCCAACAATGAAAGGTTGGAGGGGAAGTTCACCGCAATGGAGGAAATGATGAAGAAATTACTTGAAATGAAGACCAATCCGGCGACATCAGAAGCGAGGGAGACTACCGGCGACCATGGCGTAGGAGGAAATCCGAACCCG